AAACATTCCTACAAGGATCTAATTCATTCTTTCTAACTCTATATACGAGTAAAAACTGAATTGATTGAACTTTAAAAACAATCTTAACATTAATGGCGATTCTAACCTTTAACTTCTTCCTTTATATGGTTTTTATTTGCTTTATAACTTTTTCTCCTCGCACAAAAATTATTTACAAATCCATTAATTTCTTTTGTGCTGATGAGACAGCCAGCAGGAGGCAATGTTGGTGTGGTGTCACATTGTTTTTTTTGTTTGTGTAAACCACCCTGCCTTAGTGTACAGTAGTTGTCATAAAGTATTTGTTTAATAATTTAGAATATTTAATTTAGTCATGCTGTCGAAAATAAACGAATACCCAGCTCAGCAGTCTTTATGTCAATGAGGTAAGGGAGATGAAAATACGCCTATTCTCTGCTCAGACCTTCAGCAGTGAACGATGCCGGAGCTTCTGCAGTTCTGCATGTTTTACTTCTACGCAACCTGTGTTTAGATCCAATTAGAACACTTGCAGACCCACTTTTTGACCAGATGGATGCAGTCTGAATGATTATCAGCCTGCTGTCAGTGTGGACAGGATGCACAGAGGAGAGAGACCTTATGCTTTTAAATAATAACAATGCAACACAATCGGCCTCTGTAGATTTGTCAGCAGATGTATTGTTTTACAGACTTTGTATCTTATGTCTGTTTTCTCCTGGCCTGTAGTGGCAAACATCTGAACATAAAAGTTAAAATGTCAGGAGCACATGTGAGGAACGTCAGCTGTTTTCACCACTTCCTGTGTGACCTCTGCAGGGTGTGAGGGAGCGCCTGGTATTTGGTGTAATCATATTCATAGCTTTTTGAGTAGAGTGTTTTCTGGCTGGAGATTAGGCTGACACTGTGACCCGTGGTTTGCTGATAGTGTCGTTGTGTTGCTTTGGCTTCACCCACAGTGAACATCTCTCCGACAGGTTAACGGAGAGCTCTCACTCTGACGCCTGCCGTGCACTCATAGCTCTTTATCTCAGTCAGGGTGAGTCCTCCTCACCCACAGAGGGGGAGGTTCAACACCCAAGTCCTCTGGTTGTATCTGCTAGTAAGCTCGTATACAAAGTGTACAAAATAAAGGGTTTTACATCGTAGCTAAACTTTTTGCTTCACAGCAGTCTTATATATATCAACACCAACTTCACTGCAATCAATACTGAGTCTCCAGGATGTTTGTTTCTATTTCACACAGTAACTACCCCGTTAACAACACGCTCATGCAACTTTTATACATTCCATAATGTGATGTACATACCATTCGCGTAGTTGTTTTTGCATTGTGTTTGATACACAATTTGCATGAAATGATTTCCACAAGGACAGGATGACTCCCAGGATATTAGGACTGCATTATGTTTCAACTCATTAGAGATTCAGTTTACCCACGTTTTTAATAAAACACAATTGTATAATCCCGAAACATATCCAGCCATGCAGATCGTTTTCTTTTTGGTGGAAATCTGTACACCTCTGCCTCCATCTTATAAATGTAGGGATTTTTATGATACTAGTAATAAATGACAAAGGTATAAAAGCAACACGATGTTCAGGAAATTATGTCCCATAACCTTTTTTAGTGTAGAAATAGTCTCATTTAAACGAGACAGCATGTTTTGTAGATTATCCAGAGTAAAAGAGACTTGGGGATAGGGCTGTGCAATTAATCGTATTTTAATCGCGATTACGATTATGGTTTGCGACGATTATGAAAACAGCATAATTGACAAAATACGATTATTTTGCTGGGTGCGCTTTCGCCCCTCCCTAAAAGCCCACTCGGCCACGTGGAACAAGAGCAGCAACTCGTTAAAAAAGAAGGGTAAAACTATTTCCACTATTTGCAAGTACTTTGCCATTACATTTCACATCGCTAAAGATATGTGCCCAGTTAGCACTGTTAGCAACCAGGGCTTTAAGCAACTTGTCAACACGTTGGACAAGCGTTACGCGATGCCGTCTCGGTATTATTTCAGCAGGTCTGCGCTGCCTGCGCTATGTGACAAATGCCGTGGGGAAGTTGAGAGAGATGTGGCTTCAGCTGACTATTTGCTACCACAACAGACCTATGGTCTAGCCCAGGGGTGCCCAACCAGTCGATCGCGAGATGTGTCTAAAAATAGAACAACAATATTCTGTTTTATCGTTAATGTCCTGTAACATAATCTTCCTGTGCCAGAATAATGCACTTGAACGCATCAAAGCTTTGTGATTGGCCGGCGTCACCCCATGTGTCGGGGCGTGGCTGAGGGTCTTCAGTACAGGTGGCAATATCGTCACCTGCCTGCGCTCTTCTCTGAAACCAGACCATGTAAACAGGCTGGTGTTTCTTGCGAACAATCTTTAAGAGATGACATGAGCAGCCCTACCAGCATTTGCCATGGTGGCCTAAACATTTTTATTTGGTCTTAAATTGTAGTTCAACATTTATTTCCTGTTACTTCTGGACCATGACGGTTGGCCAGCCTTCAACGTTTAACTGAGTGGAATATGTTGAATATGTTTTACCAAAATGTTGGCTATATGTTAAGGAGTTTTCAGTAGGTTGTGACAGTGCATCATATTTGATTTAATTTAGTCTAATTTATTTTTATTTATCATATTAATAATATATGTATGGTTTTGGAAGTGCGCTCCAACATATTTGTTGATCTTGTTTATTGGAAAAATATTTTGTTTTAAAGTTCAATAAATGGTCAATGAATAATCGTCAAAAATAATCGTGATATCAATTATTGACCCAAATAATCGTGATTATGATTTTTGCCATAATCGCACAGCCCTACTTGGGGACATTATTTCACAAAAATAATCTGCTGTTGAATGACATTGATTTTGCCTTCACTGTACTGAGGGGGCTATAGAGTCAATATAATGTTTTATAGGGACTGAGCCTTTAACCATTGAAGCATTTCAATAATGTGTATGTAATAAACCATCCATCTCCATTTATAACACATTTAAACAAAACACACATTTGGTAGAATATATAGAAACGCTGAATCTATTTTCCCAAAAAGTTTTCATTCAGTTACTGTCCTCTCTGTGTGTTGGGGTGTGTGTTCTATACTCACTTGTATTCTGTACAGACGCATACAGCACGTCTGAATCACATTCGGCTGTCAGGGTGTGTGCGCACGGTGATAAATGAGCCACTTCTTATTGTTTACTGGTCCAATCTCCTCAGCCAATCAGAGCTTGTGTTCAGGCCTGTCGCCGCGTGGTAGCCAAGGTCAAGCTAATCCTGGTTTATTTAAGGGATGGTCCGTAGCTTAGTTACAATTCACTCACATTCCGTCTTATTCATTTCACTGATCAAATGTGTGTCAGTGAAAGGCAGGCGGGGGGGGGGAGAGTGAGGTCATCGAGGGCGATTAAATCGTTACCCTTTATTAAACACAGTTAATATTCTCTCAGAAAAACCTTGGAGCAGAATAGATTACCACACACACACACACACACACACACACGAGATTCAGAACACCAACAGCATAAACACAGTGGTGTAGTTGATAACGTTTTTGTCTCGTTTGTATCAAAACTAATACAGCATGCCCTGATGATATCTGTCTGCTGCAGTCGCTGCTCAAAATTAAAGGGAGAAAAACACAAAAAGAGGTTTCTGTGTCTGGGCTCATTTTGAAATAAAAAAATACTGATAAGATCTGCATGATTTCTCATGTGTCACTTTCTCTCCATGTTTTTCCTTGTAATCAGTTATTTTCCCAGACTTGTATGCCTCTCCATACTAATGTGTTGTCTTCTGTTCTCTCCACAGACCTGAATACTACAAGATGAAATGAGATCCAGGGTGCCCGACGTGACCAAAGCTGAAGAGACTTCAGTTTCACATTAACTCGACCCTGAAAGCAAAAGCATTCTCGATTATATTTCTCGTTATGATGCTTAAAATCCAAGGCATTATTAATAGGATTTGCTCTGAGATTTTCTCTGTTCTAAAACACAAATCTGCTTTTTTCTGTTTGGATTAAATGTGGGGAAGTCCAGGAAATAGCACTGGCAATAAGACTTGACTTCAACATCACACAAGTCTTAACCACGATGCCAGAGACTCTGCTCCTCGATACACAACAATACCCCCCACTGTCAGTCGTATTCCCTCCACAGCCGAACTGAATCATCAGGACACTTCCCCGTGCAGCTCAGCCTTGATCAGAGAAAATAAGATTCTGTGGGGTTTGCTCTGATTACGCAACCATGAACTGATCAGATCTGGCTAAAAAAATATGACATCTGTTGTCCCGCCTTTTGGAGCTTTGTGGATTCACCGGGAAACCAATGAATGTTAATTAACATCATTCAGGCCATCAGTGTGGTTTCAGGTGAATATCTTTACTGCAGTCAGAAAATCCAGAGCCCCTTGTCTTGTCAGTGTGTTGTGAAAGTTAGCGAGTTGTAAAATAATGTAATAAACAATTGAATAAACCTGTTCTTTTGAAGTTGTAACATCTAGTTAAAAGTGAAATGACCTGAAACACCTTTCATAGTCTCATTATAGATTTATTGGATATAAAATAAATAAGTTCATGTTGTATTCAGGGGCGTGGTGACGAGACACATTCCTCTTTGATGCTGTTCAGGTTGCACAGTTCAAATGTAAAACAGCAGGTCCGCTCACAGCTCTTTAGTTAGAGGGGGGAAGGGAGGGTTCACACCTGTGGTTCAGGCCTCATTGGTTCCACCGAGGCAGCGGACTGTTTTAAGTAATAACTGGATCCAGGTCTCATGCCAGCAGGAGGTCAGAGGTCACCCAGTGAGCAAACAGCTTCCACAGTGAGCAGGCCTGGCATTGCATAAGAACAATACACAGATGAAACTGGGGCGGCAACACGAGACACAGATTCCTCTTCTGAATTTACCATAAGTATAACAATAAGAACCCAAAACAGACCGTCCCATCTTTAAGAAGGAAATGTGGTGGTAGCCATATATTCTGTGATTACAGATAACTTGAAAAAGTTAAACATTTAATTGTGTTCCACAGTGCAAGTGATACTAAACGTCACAGAAATGTTGCGTCTACCAGCATTTCATGGGATTAACTCCAATAATGGATGGTATAAAGAAGCATTTCAATATTCCTCAACACGTTGAAATAAAGACAGCATGGAATCTGGAAATCGTGATTCATCCTTATAAAACGCAGCCTGTACAACTGTTGCCATCTCAGCATCCTCCATTTGAGTTGTAAAATAATCTAGCTAGTTACAGACAACCAAAACAAGAAGCACATGTCCAGTTACTCTCGATGTTTGGCTCACAGGGGACATGCAGCGTCACACAAAAAGAAGAAGGGTTTAGTCCTGAAATCAGCTGAGAGACGAACAGGTCTTACCTTTTACATTAACACGATGCTTACATATATCAGGCACTTTTCGGACCCCCCTTTTTACAGAGATATGGTACAAGAGTCCACAGAGCTATTTACATAGTTTCACCAGGGGGAGCAAACCACTGGATGGGAGGGGGGTTCTCACCACAGTTTTAGACGTTGGACGGGGTGTGTGCATGTAAGTGTTTGATTGTTTTTGCTGTGTGCGTTGTGGGGGGCTCAAGCACTTCAGGTGAGTCCGTCCTTCCTCTTAAAGTCCTCCTCCTCCTCCTCACTCACGCGGCGATGTTGCGCGCAAACCTCCTGGCGACGCCCGGCGACCGCACCTCCGTGTCCTCGGAGTGGGATGGGCTCGAGCGGTAACCACGTTGTTGTGAGGGCTGTTGGGGGTAGTACTGAGGGGGGTAACCACGGTAATAGGGGTCCTGCTCTTCCTCTTCCTCCTCCTCCTCTTCTTCCTCTCCTTGGTCGTCGTTGTAAGCCACTGCAGCTGGGTTGTAAGGCTGGTAGCCGCCGTTAGGCAGGGGTTGGACTGGGATGGTGGGAATATTTGTCAGTTAGCTTTTCTGAACTCCGCTAACATAAAACCACCACCACGGGGAACATGGAGCAAAGTTAAGGCCGACTTTGAGACCACAACCATTTTAAATGCCACCACCATCATCACTTAAACTAAAGCAATAAGAAGGTAGCGTGCTATTAAAGGTTATAAAACAGAGTTGCACAGGCAGATTTGGAATCAGCAATAGTCCAAAAGTTTTGGTTAATGAGGAAGTTGGTTAAAGAAATGTAAGATAAGTCTGACTTTACCCCGGATTCGTCAGATGTGACAATTTATCCAGAAGGATCACATCTGGGTCACATTAGAGGTAAATGTTTTGCCCAGTTTATAGTACAAGAGATGTTCGGATAAGAGGGGGACTTCAGTAATGAATGCAGCCAATCAGCATCAAAGCTATTCATCACTATTTTGCTGAACCAGCAGGCTTCAAAAGAGGAGATTAGCTTTCAAGAGCTTTGAGTTGAAAGCGGAGGCTGCGGCAGCAAACCATTGTGTGCAGCAGCATTTGTTGACAGATGGCACAGAGATCATCGCCGCAGCGTTATTCTGGGGTTTTGTCTGGTCTTGTGGGAAGGTCAAATAATCCCTTTCTTTCTCACAGACTGTCAGATGATGAAGCAGCCGGATTAACCATCCAATTTTATCAATAAAGTTAACTGACAGGAGAAATGAATCCAGTTTCTGTATAAGAGGGAATCACAAAGCATCGTTTGCATAAAGACTGAAAATCTGGTGAATTGAAGGATTTTAAACACCTATACAGGACCAAAGTGAGGACAGGAAGTTGACTCTAACTTTAAATGGGTTCAGGTTTTGTTGCCGTTTTACAGGAATAACTGCAAAAACAAAGTGTTGGTTTCAAAGTTATTTGGTCTCTGAAAAAGAAACCCACTGCTGCAGGGACTCGAGGTTAAACACTGGGGTCACGAGTCGTAATTATCCACTAATATGGTGGCCTTGTAGGAGTAACTTATCCATTTCCTCAGTTTTTAGTGTTTTGTACAGGGCGTGGAGGGAGGTGAGGAGAGGAGGGCGGTTGAAGAAATGTTCCTCAGTAATCATTCCCATAGTCCTGTTGAGCTTCAGGCAGAAAGAGGAAGAGACAGAGGGAGGGAGGAGGGAGGGGGGGGGCACAGGGAGGAGATGTTACACCTCACATCAGGAGGAAAACCCAAACACACCAAAGACAGAACGGCCCCCACTGAAAAATGAGTGTTGGATTTCTGCTTCTCTCTTCAGAAGTAGAAATGCACACACCCTGAGGATTACAAAACATTTCTCCCATTGAAATATAGATATTCAAATAAAATGTTTGAGAGGAGGAAAACAAATGTCAGATCTTTAATCCACTTTCTGTTCACAAGAAAGTATAAATAAAGATGTCCAACATAGACATCGGTAGTAACAACAAAGGTGTTCAGAGTTAACCCAGAAATAACATGCTCTGAGGGAAAAATAAATACAATGATATAATAAATAGTAAGATGTTCTGCCGTTTCATAATTACAGTGATTTACCACATATTACTTCAAGTAGTATGTGTTGAAAGACTGCATACTCATTTGAAAGTGACTATAACATGTGCAGATAACATTACAATTCATTTAAGTGAATTATATTTTGAGAAATATAACCTATGACATAATTATGAAAGTATTCAACAGTTACTATTTTTGTCTATTGAGTGGCACATTGTTGGTCCATACCTCTTATTCATCTGTATAGTTAACGATGATATTTTAAATCATTAATATTACTTCAACGTCTTTATGACATGTTTATGGCATATTATACAATGATGTTTGTATTGATTCTAATAAGACCTCATATCTATCGAGAAATATTTGTCAACTGAAATATTTCTTTGATAGTCACAATGACAAAGCCAAATAAAAGTCAAACGCAGCTGAAATTATATTGTATTTTCCTCGTATTGTAATAAGGGAGGCAACAGCTAGTCCTTGCTTGGTTGAGATTAACAGGCGAGACTCTCCTAAATCATAAAACAAAAAAGAAACATTTGACTGGAATACATTTATATAAAATAACTCTGGTTGATGGAGGAAGTGATGTCTCAGTCATCTGCTACTTTCAGCAGATGATGTTTCCTTAACATGACTAGTCAGAAGCTGTTAGAACTGTTTTATTCTGGCCTAAGACAATACATCCATAAAGTTCCTATTCACTATGAATGTAGTGGCTAACAGCATGTTTTACGACATCTCAATATAGACAAAGAGCTTTGGTCAGTGACACGGTTCACTTCTTAATCCATCAGCGTGGACATGAATGTGTAAACTTCACAGTGGAACAACAATAAAAGCCAGATCACTCTCCAATTCTCTTTATGAGAACAATAACTATCACACAGCCCGCTGTCACTACTGAAACAGTATTTTAGTCTTTTAAACATGTCAAATATGGTTTATAAGATGGAAAGACTGGGCAGGGTTAGACTGTGTCAGCTGTTACTGTTGATAGACGAGCAAATATAACAATACAACAAACACTGATGGTTGCCCTCAACAAGGCTTTTCTAAGTTCAGTGAGAGGATGAAGTTAATGCTCAGTTGCAAAAGGACATTAAGGTCTGAATAAAGAGCAGTCTGGATATTTTGTGTTTTACTACTTCTGGTCAAAAATGTAAGGCAACATTTTATTGTAGTTCATTTGAAACAGCCTGACCTACTGAGTACTGTGTGATTTTGAATATTTGGTTATGTTTTTATTGTTATCGCCCTTCTGTCTTCCTCATATGCTCTCAACTAAATGATATCTTCACGGTCTACTGTATATTTTCTACTTTTGAATGCTGCTTTAATTCTATTTTGAGATGTTTAAATTCTATTATTGTTTATTTCTACTCTTTAATTTCTACTTATGTGCAATGCCTTTTTTTGTTTTGTTGTTTTTTATGCTGCTGCAATGCAAAAAATATAAAATATCCCAATTTGGGATCAATAAAGTACCTCTTATCTTATGTTATAGTAGTTTTATAAACTATTTATTAGATGAATAATATGGTTAAATAAGGTTTTCTTTAAACTAAAGTGTCCCCAGTATTTAAATAGCAGCTGAATGATGCTTACCTCCGACGTTGTACCCGATGCAGGAGTTCTGGTCGCAGTACCCCGGGGGGCCGGCTGGTCCCGTTGAACCAGGATTCCCTTGCCTCCCCGACGTCCCTGGGTTGCCGGGCCGACCAGAGGGGCCCTGGCTGCCTGTCCGTCCTTCACCTGGCAGGCCTGAGGATGGAGGAAATGTTTGTGTCAAAGATGGGGGACATCATTAAGTTAGTCACAGATAAACATTCAGTGAAATCACTCCACCAGTGAAAAAACAAAATAAAGGGAAATGGCAACATCCAATCACCTCGTCAATCTCTCCTAAATCCCTCTTTCTGCTGCCGTGACAACATGGCAGAAAATACATGATTTTCATTTACGAGAAGATGAGAAGATGAGAGTGTGTGTCTGGAGGGCAGGAGCAGGAAAGCACAGTTCTTAGCTGAAATGTAGCCAGAGGCTTCTGTTTTCTGTTTACACAGGAGAAAAGCGCTCCGTCAGGACTCACTTCAGCAGTCAGACCAAATATGAAATCAATATTTGAAGGGAGTTTTATTTGCCAAGAGCTAAAATAATCATCCCACAAATATTCCGGGAAAAGCACAGGGAATAAAGAGGGAATGCTCTGCTGGTACCTTTTCTCATAAAAGTTTTCCGTTTCATATATTTAAGTTTCGGATGTTTTTTGTATCAGTTTTGTAAGCTGGTTCTGTGAGTATTGATTGCAAAACAGTAAACAGTAAAATCCCATCACTGACATGTTTCCACAAACCTGTTCTCCACACAGCGCACAGGGAAATCAATAGGGCAAATTATATTCACGGTCCAAGACTTCTATTTGCTTTTCTCAGACAGGGATTTAAAAAGAGTAAAGCAGAATGCAAACACATTTAGTATCCATGCTATCATATTGTATATGTATTTGAAACATTTTTGGTTTTGTTTAGAGGCCACACAATAAAAACATTGCACGTATGGAAGCTCAAGCCAGGTCGCAGCTGGAAAACAAATGTTCAGGAACAGAATAATGTTAATTTGTCATATTTTGAAGCAGTTGCCTCCAAGTGTTACATGAGCTCCGAGACTAGATGAAGTGGATTCAGTAGTGTTATCAGGCACACTCAGATCTGTGTATACATGTGGCAGTTTCTTACCTGGAAGTCCAGTTTGTCCCCGAGGACCCTGACTCCCAACCCCTGGATTCCCCCTCTCTCCCTTCTCTCCCGCCAGACCTGGAAACACACACAGTTCAGAGATCCACGTTAGACTCAACACCACATCTCCTTTTTGCTATTTCTCTTAGCAAATACGGCTCCATAATGTTTTTTAAGGCAGTGAGTACAATTTTGAAGTACTTGTACTTTATGATAGTGTACATTTTTACATCAGCACATTTAAGAGGAAAATTATGTTAGCAGTGTTTGTTATCAATACCAGTTATTCTCGTTATTTATATATTTTAGAACAATAAACAGTTTGGGTATCTATTATAAGACTCTACATCAGAATAAGTACTTTGACTTTGGATACTTTAAGTACATCTTAATGCATTCTTCACGCTTATTAGTAGACAGAGTCATTTTACACTGTTTTGTTGGTACAGAGTATCTATTCCTCAACTTCTTTCTATCCCAAAATTGGGATTACATTGCAAAGATTTGGAGTGGATTGGCATGATAAATCATGGTTGAAATTTCAGTCTAATAAAATGAATAATGAACCAGACTTGGCTCTGCGCTGCTGTCCCGCGCTGCAGCTGTTTGAACTAGAAAATGCATTTCCTGCAGAAAATGCGTGTGAATGCTGTAAACTGTGAACATTTATGGCTGAATTTAGCTGAAAATGTAGAAAAAGCTGAATATGTTATTAGCTAAATGGTAGCTGCTTTTAGCTACAAAAATGCAGAAAAAGCTTAATATTTAAAAGAAAAGGTTTAAAAAAAGGTATAAACAACATGTATAGCCTTGATGTCCTGAAATAGCTGAATAATGTAATAGTTGAATGGTTTCTGCAGCTGAAAATAGGCTGAAGGAGTTAAATATCAGATGTAAGTAGTAGTGAATGAATTTGTATTAAGAAGAGAAAAGAAAGTAAAAAGGCTTGGGAAAGCAGCAGAATATTTGAACTGCAAATTTTTGAACTAACTTGATGGTGAATTATCTGTCGCCATGGCAACAACATTTGATGACACCCCTTAATACATTTAGATGTGTTGATGGCTGCATTGTTACCAAACCTGTGAAGTTTTGGGCCATTTCGAGCATTTTCACTAAAGTTATGAGAAAACCGTGTTTCATGGTGAGCATTGTGTTGCCATGGCAACAGCATTTGAAGAAATCTCAAAACTGTCCCGTAGATGTCTTCACGGCTGGACTGTTAGCACACATGTGAAGTTTGAGCACTTTTTCAACATTTTCATCATTTTCATAGGAGTTATACATTACATTAGGAGGTTACATTACTCTCTCTCTTCTCTTGATTGCCCTCTCTCTCTTCTCTTGAACGCCCTCTCTCTTCTCTTGATTGCCCTCTCTCTTTTCTCTCTCTCTTCTCTTGATCGCCCTCTCTCTCTCTTCTCTTGATCGCCCTCTCTCTCTTGATCATTCATCATCATCGGTGTGTGTCTGAGAGAGAGTGTGTGTGTGTCTGTGTGTGAGAGAGAGTGTGTGTGCCTGTGTGTGAGAGAGAGTGTGTGTGTGTCTGTGTGTGAGAGAGAGAGAGTGAGTGTGTCTCTGTTTGTGTGTGTGTGTGTGTGTGTGTGTGTGTGTGTGTGTGTGTGTGTGTGTGAGAGAGAGTGTGTGTCTCTGTGTTGTGTGTGTGTGTGTGTGTGTGTGTGTGTGTGTGTGTGTGTGTGTGAGTCTGTGTGTGTGTGTGAGAGAGAGATAGAGTGTGTGTGTCTGTGTGTGTGAGAGAGAGAGAGAGTGTGTGTGTGTGTGTGTGTGTGTGTGTCTGTGTGTGTGAGAGAGAGAGTGTGTGTCTGTGTGTGAGAGAGAGGGAGTGTGTCGGTTTGTGAGAGAGAGAGTGTGTGTGTATGTGTGTGAGAGAGAGAGTGTGTGTCTGTGTGTGTGAGAGAGAGAGAGAGAGTGAGCGTGTGTGTGTGTGAGAGAGAGAGAGAGAGAGAGAGAGAGAGAGAGCGTGTGTGTGTGTGTGTGTGTCTGTCTGTCTGTCTGTCTGTCTGTCTGTCTGTCTGTCTGTGTGTGTGTGAGAGAGTGTGTTGTTAGGGATTAATTTTGTCTTTACTCCTAGACATTTAACCTTATTTTGTGTGTTGACATGTACGACCATCCCTGCTTCTAATCTCCCGTAAGGAATGTGTTGATAAGGAAGGTTTTACAGCTTGACCTACAGGGCATAGGTAGGTTTTGCGAGTGTGAGAACGCTAGCTTCTAAGCTCCAGAGATGGATACGCCATGGTTTACGCCCATGGTTTACGCCCATCCCCAATATGTGGATTTGACTCTCTGGAAACTAGTTAAAAGGTCTACCAAGATGCGAGGCTGATCATATTTGACATGGCAAACCACCCGTGTAGTCAGAACCTTTGACTGTGTGACTTGTGATGTGAATTTCTCCGGCCGATGCTTGTATTAAATATCAGTGTTTGATATCAGAACTCCTGCTCGTCCTGTGTCTCCTTCATGAGTCAGTGACTCCCACTGCATTGCTACACAGAAGTTTCCTCCACAAATGTGTGTGTGTGTGTGTGTGTGTGTGTTAATTGTTACAGCTCAAATGCATTGCAATGACTTCCATGTTAAAAAACGACTTTAAAAAGCTGAATATTAACATATTTTGAAAAGGTTTCCCATCATGTGCTGAAAAGGCTGAATAGTTTGATATTTGAATGGTTCCTGCAGCTGAAATTAGGCTGAAGGAGTTAAATAAAGATATTAAATGTAAGTAGTAGTGATTGAATGTTTACAAACACCTGTGTGTGTAACCCCAGAGATCAAAGGTTTCCATGGTGTCTGCTCTGATTGGATTATGTCACTCACGTGTGTGTGGCTCCAATCTGCCCAGCAACACCATGACAACCATCTGCAGCACTGAGTCCCATAAGAATGCATTGAGGAGTATATCTGACAATTTTGCCACCTGTTCAAAAACTATGGCTCCTATAAAAAAAAATGACCAGACCGTGAGCATCAGGGAACCCCAATGAACTGAAATATGTTGTTTTTTTTGGTTTTGTGTGTAAAATGTAGAGATGGGAGCAGTTTATCTAAAGTGTACTTCTCTCTGCTCTGAAGAAAGATCCGGAACCATTTAACATGGGAATCAATTGGGAGCTAGCTGGACCTTTTCTCTCTTCATGCCCTCAACAGGCATTTTGTTTAATATTTTTTCTTATTTTTTTTACATTTTCCAACCTAGGAGAGGTTTTCCTACGTTTTTCATGAAAACATATGTCTGAGGAGTGTAGGGTTTGGGAATTATGGCAAGTTTAAAACATTTTTGGGGGAGAATTTCAAGCACTGCTCCACTCTGTTTTGAGATCAAAGCACTCTAGAGTTAACAAGCTGCTCCATCCACTCTAATGTTAAAATCTAAAGATATTAAAAAAAAAATACCACCCGCGAATCACTTTTTTTGCGGGTCACCCATCGGGTACCCGACCCGATGAAGGACTCTGCCGCAAACACAGACATCTTGTGATATTCTCTTCACAATGGCCATTAACTGAACCAAAGCCACTCTTTATTCAGCATATTATTGTATGCAGACTATAAATGGTTTTCATTCGTTGAGCCTGAGCACCACTGATTCTGGTATCAGTTCTACATGGACCATCTGAATTAATAATAACACGTCTTATTTTACTAAGCCTGCCATATATCTTTTAAAATCGTTGCCCTACTCCGGTTTCAGTTCAGCCTATACAACTATAACGTGTGTGTGTGTGTGTGGCCTAGCATTACTATACTTGTGGGGACCTAAATCTGTCTACACAGTCACGTGTGGGGACTCGCCTCCCTTATGGGGACAAAATGGCGGTCCCCATGAGGGGAATCATTAATTTTAGGGTGAAGACTTGGTTAGGTTTAGGGTAAGGGTTAGGGTTAGGCATGTGTTGGTTATGGTTAAGGTTAGGATAAGTCTCTAGGAAATGCATGTAAGTCAATGTAATGTCCCCTGAAGTGATGTATACATGGTATGTGTATGTGTGTGTGTGTGTGTGTGTGTGTGTGTGTGTGACGTGTGTGTGTGTGTGTGTGTGTGTGTGTGTGTGTGTGTGTGTGTGTGTGTGTGTGTGTGTGTGTGTGTGTGTGTGTGTGTGTGTGTGTGTGTGTGTGTGTGTGTGTGTGTGTGTGTGTGTTATTGTAGAGAATCAAAGGGCTGAACCACTGGATAGGACTTAGCTGGATATTTCCTGACAGCCACTCTCAGCTCTCCGGCCCCTGCGTGTGTGCAGACTCCTTCAGTATGTGGTTCTTCAGTCTGGGTTGCGTGTTTTTAGAGATTAGGATGGAGCCTCATAAAGACCGTTTCTCCACTAAGGGCTCGTGGCAGGGGAATGACCTCATGGAACTTGGAGTAACTGTCTGCTGGCCTGGACTGAACCTCGGCGGCTGTGACCCTGAGTCAAAGACTGGGCTGGTTGAAGCTGTTCCAAGGTTTTTGGGGGTTTTTTCACAATAAAAATGCATCACATTACATCTAGTGTGTTTCATTGTTTCTCGACCACACACAGCTCTCACCAGCTGGATACTGTTTTACATAAATATGTATTACAGCAGCAGAGCTTTAGAGAGTCACGTCAGAATAACAAACTTAATTCAAATACCTGAATGTCACTCATTCAGAGGACGGAAACAGGAAACACAAAGATGGAGGTTCATTTAGCTTTTGCAAAGGACGTACACTTTTCGGTTGGTTTTGTTAAAAAACGAAACAAATGGTTTTGTGCTGAAAGATTTACATCCATGCATATTATTGGAACCATTACGAGGTGTTTTTTTGGTTTGGAAGCACTAGTTGTTTATCATACTTATATTAATATTCTTAATCATAATAAGTAAGGGTTGAGCTTCATACTGCTAAAGCTTTGTATTGGCACATTTCCTATATCTCTTTTGATATTGGTCCACCGGTTTACAGTAGCATCAGTAAACATGCAACCTGACCTCACTTTTGGCGATTTAGCTAATTTTGCTACACTCCCTGTGGAGCCACAACAATATTTTATACAACTTTACAAGAAGAACTCTAAGACCTGTAAATAGACTTATATGAGTTTAAAAAGCAAATTCCCATTTAACTCAACAGGAAGAGATTTATTCTTCTAAATGTCGAGCGATGGACGTTGTTACGTGCCTTTTCCCATTGTATGCTCTCATTTCATTTTGTCTAAGCTCCTGAGAAATATAAAATAAAAGAGAAGCCAAAGGCTCCATATAGACGGTATTCGTCTAAACAATACTTCATACTTTTCTATAATGCATAGCATAATATTTGTCATCTTATTTACCATTTATGACTGTTATGAGTTCAGTTCAGACTCCTCACCTGCTCAGTCTCAGGGGTGCTCTAATAAACATGTTTCTGCATCCTCCCTGATGCTAATGTAAACACTAGCATGCACACAGGAAGTCTAGACACAACCCAAACAATAAAGTACTGAAAACTGATTGTTATCAGTCAGTATATTACTCAGATAAAAACAGATATACGTATGGAAATTGACCGGCATATTTATTTCTGTCCGCCCTCTCGACATGTGTTGTGCATCTAGGAACTAAGTCAGTCTTTGCTCTTAGACACATCTTTAAACATCTCCCACCTCTCTCTCCTGCCCGTCCGTTCTGGCCGCTTCCACCCGGGAAGCCTGGCCTGCCAGATGGCCCCTGCTCCCCCTGGGACCCCGGGAGGCCTCTCCTCCCCGGCTCCCCTGGGGGGCCGGGTACTGTTCGGATTGACGTGGAAGACTGGACCGGGATCTGGTTCAGTATGGTGTTATAGCGAGACAAGTGGCCTGCAGGAAGTAGAGGAGGAGAAGAGTTTGAAATGACTTAGAATACGTTTTTTTCTTTAACATGGCATTTGTAACACAAATCAAATGGAAGAGAATAGAAACAAAGGAAAATCTGAAGCCAGTAGTGTTAGAAGAAACATTGTAACCAAGGAAATTGTACTTAATTACATGCTGGTGCTAATGTGTAAATATCCCTGATTACTCACTCTGGATGAGCTGCTCACACACTTGCCGTGCGATGGCCCGCACAGCAGCTTGGGACTGCACATCAGCCTGAAGAACAAACACAGAGCTCTCATTGGCTGATATTAAACAACCACACAGTTATCTGATACCACTTTTCATTTAGAGCGACAACAGGAACATAAACTCGCACAGCAGTGGTTTACAAATTAGTGGGTTGGTGTTTTAATAACTGACTCCACCTTTATTCCACACTCTGATGCCCCTTACAAGTATGCCGTTCATTATGAGTGCACAGTATTTGTTAAGAACAGAATTAAATAGAAATCAAAATTGTTGAAATAAGCTTTTCTTCCAGTCTATAGAATAACAAATCAACCATATATTTTTACTTGAGTTGATATCTAGAAGAACGAGTACCTGTGAGATGGATGTAAGCGTAGATTCACAAAAAACCTCTAATAAACTCAAAATACTAACGAGATTCTAACCAGCTTTATTCCCAACCCCGCAAAAGCAAAGAAGAGAAGATCCTGCCAGAGATATCAATGTTGATTCCAACGTAAATTAACTGCAGTGAGGTACAAATGTCCCTAACACTTGATAAAAAAAAAAGGGCCGAAACAGGATTTACAATTTCCATTCTAGTTGTCTCCTAAGCCCTTGACAGTGATAGCCTGGCTGCTGCGTCAGCGAAAACACAGACCCCGCTCAGCTGCAAATGAGCTATAAACACTGATTTGATTTGGTTTGCCCGAAATGAGGTTGAGGGAGTGAAACAGAGAAATAAAGTGAGTGTTTTTACAAAAGAAAACGAGAAACAGTGAATGTGTAATGGAGGGAAATTTGGTTATCTCAAAAACAACGGTGGGAAGCATTAATAAGTAATAGTGTGAGTTTTACTTCAACAAAATAACAATATTACCACTTCAAAACAAAGCAGTAAAACGTGATTAGTTCTAAACAGTGGTTGAATTGTGTGAGTGCATGACTTACTCTTTCTCCCTTATCGCCTTTGGTACCAGCAGAACCCTGGAACATAAAAGCAGAGCGGAGAATAAACATTGGACTGGGATGTGTACTCAGAAATAGCAACACTCATCTCTCCCTCTCCCTTTAAATGTCCCCACCTCATTACTCTCCCTCTCTTTATGCCTCTTCATCACACACATACACTTTCCCCCCCAAATCTAACAGCTGGTACGACTAAATGCATTACAATTTGTGTCTAGGTTATTTGTGTCCTAAAGACAACACACGCATAAGCTCCAACGTGTGTGTGCCCACAAACAGAGAGCAATTCTTTGCCTTGGATGGGCTTCCTCTCTGCTACTGCCAACAGTGCACAACACACAGATGTATCACAAAAAAACCTTGCCAAGCACATAAAGCCCACAAATGCATATTACAGCGTAACACACTGTGATCCAGTGGCAAATAAAAATATTTTCTGGCAACAGAACCATGAGCTGATATGATACATTTCAGTCTGATGTTGTTACAGATTTTGAATAATAGCTTATTTTTCTTGGGGGAACCGTCCTTGACCACGGACTGACTGGCTGTGTGTTGAGTGTGATGGTGGATAAAGGTTATAGAGATGCGTGTGCAGGCCTGGCATATTAACAGTTTGTGTATTATCATGCAGATGATAGAAATCTTGTGCCAACATTTGACACAGCCGCTGAATTGGAGTGCAGGACTCCACAATAAAAGTCGTCTGCTGGACCTCCTCTGTGTGTCTTCCTGGACGTATAAATGTCTCCTGTCTTATCAGACTGAAATGGGAAAACCAAAATCAAACTGTTTGGGAGCCAAAGAAAATATATTTTGGGAGCCAAAGAAAAAAGACAGAAGCACCTCTCACTCAAATCTGATTTCTTGTATAACTTTTCTTAACATTGCCCTGTGTGTGCAGAGTCACTGTTCTTTCACTCAAAATGTCTTTTACAGTTTATCTACAGAGGGAAACATGTTGGACTTTGGTGCTTTTGTTTGTAACTGGCAAACATATTGAGGCTTGCTACAGAGTCAAGCATGATAACAAACAAAGAAATCCTCGGGTGGTCTAGGCACTGGAAAACACATTCTGACAGTTTCTTCTGCTTTCGACACACACTCAAGTGCGATGACACTTTGTTGACTTGTAAGGCTAGCTGTAAATACACAGGTGTATGAAACAGTCAATGAATCAGTAGAAAAACAACCAAATGAAGACAAAAAGACAGGAAAATAAGCTACTAATAAAACATGTCATTTCATTTAGATGTTAAGACCTGAGCTCAAGATATTTTAGTGACACTCACAGTTTTGCTTCTTTGAATCTTAAGACTCTTATTTTGCCTTTGCTAGTATAAATCCGTTGTCCTTCAGCAAGTGTCTCAGAGCAGTGGGACAGATGTGCTGCAACACTGGGACATCACTTCCAAATCTTAAGGTCAGTTAACACATGATGAGAAAAATGCTAAAATCTCTGCAGGTTTTAATGGCTGCATTTTCAGCCAGAACAAAAGCTTCTTGTCTAGGAGGATATTATTCTCTTTCTGCAACCTGCAGCCAGCAGCCAGCGGGCTGCTGGCTGCAGGTTGCAGGGGGCAGAACAGGGACTGAATACACAATCTTAGGTTGAGGTAAAGTTTTAAACTAAAAGTTATATGTGTTTAAGAGACTTTGGCTCAGGATAGCAAGATCTGATTTTAATTTGTGTCACCTTTTGTGTTGGCTGCATGTGCATACATTTAAACAGAGTGTCTGTGTCTCCTCCGTCTCAGAGAGGCAGACGTGATATCTCAGCGTAGTCTCTGCATGGGTGTGTGTTTGAGTGTGTGAGGGGGGAGGGAGAGTGTCGTCAAGAGATTTATAGCTCTGCCTCTCTGAGCCAAACTTTGCTGCAGGCCTAGAGCTGACCCAAGACTAGATTAGCTGTTCCTGATCATCTGTTCCTGTTAGCATTACACAAAGTTTGGATCCCAACATCTTCTTCTCCGTACTTGTGTTGTATAACTTGTAGGGATGTAACGATATATCGGATATCGCGGTAAATAAATGTCTCAATACCGTCGTGAGACTGACAAAATCTACCACGATTTACTTTTTAAAAAAAAAATATATATTTTAAAAAATCTTTATTTAACCAGATGGTCCCATTGAGATCATCGATCTCTTTTTCAAGGGAGACCTGTCCAACATGGCAGCAAGTAGGTTACAACATGAACATAAAACAACAGATAACACAAAAGGACATAGTATTTACAGTGCTACATGTACATACCTAGAGACATTGACAAGTACCAACAGTATATTTATATCTCGCCCTGTCAATAAGCCTCACCTTCTTGGCAAAAACTGTATTGCTTTTGAAGTGGTGGAGAGACAATGCACAGTTTTACCCACTGCTGTCACCCATGGCCAAAGCATATCTCTCTGTCCCAGCAACATCAGTACCAAGCAAGAGAGTTTTTTCCACAGCAGGGGGTATTGTAAACGCCCAAACATCCCAGCTTCTACCTGGAAATGTGGACATGCTCATATTCCTAAAAGATAACCTTGATGATGCTGAGTGAGTGAGTTAGAGTTGAGTTACTTGAAAAACTAAAGTGAAACTTGATTTATTCTATTGCAGGGTCTGATTATTATATTGTTGACACTTTAAAATACTACTATCCTACTAAAACGCTGTACAAATCCGATTTATTATTTAATAAAGGAAAACAAATTCAAGTAAAACAAGAAAGAAAAATAATTCACATTTTTTTCCCTTTATTTTTCAATATCGCGATAAATATCGTACCGTGGACTTTTTAATCGCGATATTATCGTACCGTGAGTTTTTTGTATCGTTACATCCCTAATAACTTGCACAACCTTTTCATTCTTTTACAAGGCATAACAAACTGACTTACATCACCATTGGAATCAAAGTTGAACCATCACATTTTCTTTTTCACAAGATGAAATATTACTTCTTAAGTTCCCTTATAAGAACAGACTTGTGAGGAACACCCACTTGACTGCTTTGTACTAACAGGTGTTTCCAGTCAGGAGAAGGAAGAGCAGAAAGTCAAACAGGATGAAAAAAAGCAAAGCTGCAACGCTTGTCAGCTTTGGAATAAAACCCCAAAGTTGTTTATATTTATTTAAATCTGTAACTTTTTGATAAAACTCTGCGATTGACGTTTTTTTGGAAATTGAGTTAGGCATAATGGAAGAAATCAGAAAGCGGAGGAAGTAATGGAGAGTCCTCCACGTCTTCAGTTCATTCTTAATACTCTATTTTTTCACATCCACCTTAAGAACATTGAAACAAGTGCTTTCACTCACAGGAACTCCTTGATCTCCCTGGAGCCCTGATGATCCACCAGGTCCCGGGGCTCCTGGTCCTCCAGGGGACCCCTGAGAGAGAAGGATGGAGAGAGAGAAAGAAGGTGAGAGGAAGCAGAAACATCAATCATCACATGTATCAGGGTGATCTGGCAATCAAAAGCATGCTGAGGGATAAAAAACAATGACTTACGCCAGGTCCAGGAGGTCCTTGTCGTCCCTGCGGTCCACCATTACCCGGCAGACCCTGAGAAACGCAGATGACAACAATATTAAATATCAGCTGGACTTTTATAATTGTAAGTTGAACTTTTGTTTTGCACAAGCCCTTCCTAAATGGCCGGAGGGATTTCCTGCGAGTCTCCAGACTAAACCGACAGTAAGACTGTTATTTTCTAATACAATTACCTTACAGGCTACTCACAGGAACCAAAAGCAGTAGCTGTTTAATCTGCTACTTCCTCAAAGTCTTCCAAAAAAGAACTCCAATCAAACCTTTATGTTTAGTTTAACTTTGGGATAGTCTGCACAAAACACAGGTGCATTCTTTTCTGACATTTTTCCAAAAATAAAAATATGCATTTAAATTGCCTCCAGGTGCTTAATCCCATCTCAGCCATTTTATGTTTTCTCCAAGACGCTGTGGTTTGAACACATGAGTATGAAACTACAGGTTTAACTTTAGAAGCACATTCATACCTGCTGTGTGATTATTCTGTAGGGTCTGGTTTTGTGAAGGTATGACATATAATAACATGTTATTTAATAAGATAATGATGGCTTTGATCTATCGTTATATTTATGGGCTATTAAATTGAACAAATTCAGTTATAAATACACATTTTTGGAAGCTGGTCTTGGCATCACATAGTCCTGGAAAACAGCTCAACCTAATGTTCAGATAATCCTTTCATTTTTAGCTTGGATGTCTGAAGTTACTTTGCGGTCAAACATCTAGACTGATGCTTTTTCAACATGGACACATTCCCTGAATGGTTTAACCTGTTTAAGGGTACAGAGTCGAGAATGAAGAGTGCTAATACATAGGGATAAAACACTTGGAGGAAGCATTAAACTACATTTATTTTGTTAGTTTTCTCAGCATATATTTTGGTTGTGTTGCCTGTACAGTTTTTGCAAGAGCGACAATCTTTGTTGAAGTCTCTTGGGGATCTTTAACTTCCATTTGACGGCAGAACAACATTTGAATTGGTAAAATAATGAATAATTCTCTGTAAAGCTGAGCCAGACTGTGACATCAGAAAAGTCAGTCTGGTCACAGTAAACACTCGCTCTGTTAAACTCACTAATGGGACTCTGGCGGGGGCTTTAGTTCCTCACAATATTCAAATCTGGCAAAGTAAGACACTTAACTATGAAATCCTTAAAAATATAGCAGATGTGTGGAACAAAAATATCATTATCTAAGGACAGATAAACGTGACAAGTTTCACTGTGAAGCAAACAGGCATTAGATGTGACATTGGGACGAGATGTGTCATCCTATAAACCTTCTGGCCATATTAAAATCTAAACATTGAACTATTTCTGTTATTCAGCCTCCTGCTCTCTCTCACAGGCTCATGAAAATGTATCATTGCTATTTTATTCCCCCCGCTACAGGGTCACAGTCTGACCTTTAGTCCAGAAAATTGGGGTGAAGCCATTCTGATTTCTATATGCATGCGGAAATACCCACCGACAAAGGGCAGACTCGTTATGTATTAACTATTATATTTAAAAAGACTGAACTATATTTTGAATAACAAATCCAATCCCCAGTTCCCAACCAGTAAAATGTTGATGAAAATTGCAACGTCATTAATATATCTTAAATAATGAAGTTGGGAATTATTAACTAAGATATATTAATGTATGATTTAATGAGCCAGCATCTTAAGGAAGTTTAAAAACATGTTTGGTAAGGCAAGCTTCAATGAGAAAATCAAGATATATAGCTTTCACTGTAATATTGACAATGAAATGCCCAGGGGCCTCATTTATAAAGCGATATACGCTCAAAAAATGGCGTACGCCAGTTTCTACGCAATGTTTGCGATTTATAAAATACTAACTTGACGGGAAAATGTGCGGTCCTCCACGCAAACTCTAACCCATGCGTACGCACTAAGCACAAAAACGGGATGGACGAGAAACTGCGACACCGCGTTGGCAGAAGGAAGAATGGAGAGAAATATGTGGAAATAATACCATAAACAAAATGTTACCTCTCATGTATCATATATGAAGAATTCATTTTCAAACATTGATTAAAGCCAATCTTAAAATGATTAAACAAACGCCTGTTTGCGACTCCTCAGTGCACACAAAAACATAACTTGGAGAAATAAATAAATACGGATATGTTATTTAAAACCACCTCGAAATGTTGTGTTAATGTTATGAAATGTTTTCTCATAAATGATGCGGTAAGCAGAAGGACAGAATTACGTCTAAACTGACGCCGTTTTGCATTTCTATAGGTTGTAGATACGAGCATGATCGACAGCTGGAACACAAACCACCAAATACAAAAACAAAATTCAGATCCAGTCGTCATGACTCTACTCCGGAGGGATTGCCCGATCACTTCTTACAGTCTCTCATCAAGGGGGTGTCTCCTGTCCCCGGTACAAACACACTGCCTGAGGAAGGCTATGTGTATGTTTTTTGTCATTAACCTTTTTCGGGCCATTTATTTATTTATTTTGGTGATGATCCGACCTCCATGCTGCTACTCTGGTTCAAACTACATCCACCAAACAATATGATTTATCTCGACCTCCCCAAAATAACCAAAATCTGACACGGTGTGAGACGTCTTTTTTAGCTGTTCTGTCGTCATTTCCTGCGATCTTCTTCATAAAGTCAGTCAGAATGAATGAATGGGCGTTTCTTTGACTATTTATAGGCAAATATGGGCGTTACGTGAAGCCCGCAAAAGCTGCACCGCATGTCGAGTCGGTTGTGATTTATAAAGGGAAACCGGCGTAGGAAGTGCTGTACGCACTTTCCTCGCCGGTGCGCAATGTTTGGTGAATCGGAAAATGTCGGAAAATGTCTGTACCTATTTTTTGGATTTCTACTACGTAAGCAACCTTCCCACGTGAATCCTACGCACGGCGTTATAAATGAGGCCCCAGGAGACAGCTGCTGTTGCTTCTCTGATCTTACTAGCCGCTGCAGTAAAAACATTTTTGGCTTTTAAACATCTTACAAAAACTTTGGGACAGTGTTTATGCCAAGTGGAGTAGTGCCATGCTGCTTAGTTTTACTGTGAGGCGACAAAGGGCTATCTGTTTCCCCATCTGTTTTGTACACATCGGATGATACAGACTAGTGGCTGATAACCCCCCCACTGGGTGGCAAAATTCGAATAAGCATTGTGAAAGAGTTCATTTTCAGAAGCGGCTTCTTGCTCATAATTACTGTTTAGTCGCCTACATTCTTCTTTCTAGATCACAATGAATAGCGATAACAGAAATTGCTGTTGCATCGATGACCTCTTGTGAATTGATTCTTATCAGTATTCACTGCGGCCCCTTCCCTACTGCTTTCAATGGAAACACATTTGGAAGGAATTCAGCCCGAGCACGCTGCTAGAAACATCAGAGTGTGACGCTGCAGCTATTCTGCAACAGTAAAACAAAGTATTGATTTGAAGATGTCCTTTCGTGTGCGGAAACTAAATTATAGTTAGCTCTTTGTAATTCTTCAAACAAACCCGTGGTGGAATGTATTTATTTCAGTCTCTACAGCACATATAGAATACACATCACATCTGCAGCATCTTGATGAAATATGGATGTGCATGGGAGGGTATCTTTCCCCAATAAATAGCAGCTAAAATGGCTCCCTGATGAATAATTTCACATAATTACACTCAACATCAGTGAACGTGTAGAGTATTCTGTGAGTAGGTGTGTTGTTGACGGCACATCTCCACGCAGTTCAGTGCAGGCTGCTCATTTTAAAATTGAAAGAAGGACACGGCTCGGTAAACTGCTGAACAGTGCTTTGTTTATCATAAGAATCAAGATGTGAATATAAATAGTATTTACGATTAATATTCTTTCCTTTAAATCACATATAGTAAGTTGTAGCTTGTAGCTTAAAAGAGTCAAACTATCTTGTTTTGATTTGAATGATTCTAGATCAGATTTGACATTTTAAATGACAATGCAGTGTTATTTAAAACTATTTAACTAAATCCAACCAAATCAGACTGTGATTTACGTTTTTTTTTGCTCAACGCTTTGTAACACCAAACCCTTTTCTAGCTTTAAGGAAAGAAAAACCCTGGTACACATGTCCTGAAATAAACCACATGACCTGAATTAAATTAGGTTCTGAAAACTAGCGCTGAGGGGATGAGTGTCAGACCCCTGGCAGCCAACAAAGAGAGAGCAGACGGATCATGTGTGGAGTCTTTCACCACGCCAGGAGTAAACCCTCCTGCTATCATATTCTGTGTTTGGAGAAGAGCTTTTCTGTCTGCTTGTCAACACATTAAATGCCGCGTTACTGTTCTGGTATTTAAAGCCCAGTTGGGTATCGTTAGGTCAGATTCCTCTGTCAACTATAACTACTACTGTACTGGATTCTGCGCAATTGGAGAATACCTTTTTTTATGAGGAGAGTTCACATATCTTAAGTTAAAAATCAGTTTTAATTTTCCTTTTTTATATGTGAGAGCACCTTCTTCAACAAGTCATGATGATGTCAGCAAAAAGGGAAGCTTTTAGCATTTCATTTGTAGACCATTTATCCACTGTAGGGTTTATTTTTATTTACAGCTCCTTTCTTAGAGTCTCACCTTAAGGATAATGTTTTCACACCCGTCTAAACTGAATATTAAGTATTTACATATCTACAGTGAATGCACTATGCAAAATATACTGTATGTTGAGACAAAGAACAGGCATTTGTATCACAACATCACTAAACCATACTTTTTATCCCCTAAGACGGAACCTCTGCAATGCCTCGGACGCTTAAAGGCCCTGACACACCAAACTGACACCAAAGAACACGTCCGACGGACCCGATTGTTGTGTTGTCTCACGTCTCCTGCGTCTTGGCCAACAATCGCACTGGAACACACCGCAAAGACTTCAGCCAAGTAGCACGTACGCACTGCGCATGCGTGAGTGGCAATAACTCTCCTTACCATCAAGCGGCGGTAGTGTGTATTCGTCATTCAAAAGAGGCAACAACCGGAAGACAGACTGCGTGATATATAAAAACAACAAATAGCGTGCGTTCCATTTTCACTCTCGTCCATCACAGACTGTTTCACATCACAACTTATAATCGAAAACATGTTTAGTGCGGTACTGGAAAATGAAAAATAATAGCCGTCTGTGTGTGCCTTCTTCATTTCCGTTTTGCTTCTCATGCACCGATTCGCTAAGCTGAACAGCCAATCAGAGTGATTTATTTTGCTGACAGCCTCAACATTCAACATCGCTCATCGACGGCCAGACGTCTATCGACGGCCAAAATCGGCCTTAAGATCCACCAGTTCCTAAGTCCCTACGGATGGAGTGAATGCTGCACCAATATTTCAGTGTGTTATCTTACCCTTGGTCCTGGGGGGCCGTCTCTGCCAGATGAGCCTGGGCCTCCAGGAACACCCTAAAAAACACAAACAAGCAGGTTTAAATCAGCATCACAACACTCACCTTTAAACATCTATTGTGAAGCAATTGAATGTAAATTAATGTGTTTACATTAGTTCAGGTTTTTTTTTATTTATCTCACCTCACCATTCTAGCCCATTACATTTGATCCGCTTATGTATAGAAATTAGTTTTTTACTCAATGTTTTATAAAATAGTAAAACATTAAAACACAAACAAATTCAACGAAAGGTCAAAACAGATAAGGTTTGCTGTCTTTATCATTTATGCTTTGACATACGAGGACAGAAATGTGATTTGTTGGATCACCGAGCTTTAGCCTCAGGTCGGTCTATATTTCAGCAGGACTCCCCCCCCCCGCTGCTCTGTCTCCCGCCCCATTCCCCCTTCATCCACCTCTCTGCAGGTCAATGCACACAGCGAGTTCCAAAGTACAGTCATGGATTTAGTGTTGAGGTGATTTATCTCTGCACTTCAGTATTAGTGGTGAGCTCATAAAACAGGACAGTTAGCACAGTTAAAGGTCCCACAAGTTACAGGCCCAGGTCGCACAGGACAAGCCTCTCGTGATTAATGATGTGCCGCTGTTTAGATGCCGGCTGATGTTCATTCTCCCAAGACATCGGGAATAATATCTCTCCTGCTTCTTACACACACACATACACATACACACACACACACACACACACACACACACACACACACACACACACACACACACACACACACACACACACACACACACACACACACACACACACACACACACACACACACACACACACACACACACACACACACACACACACACACACACACACACACACACACACACACACACACACACACACACACACACACACACACACACACACACACGCACACACACACACACACACACACACCATGTATACATCACTTCAGGGGACATTACATTGACTTACATGCATTTCCTGGAGACTTATCTTAACCTTATTAACCATAACCTGCCTAACCCTAACCCTTACCCTTAACCTAATCCTAACCAAGTCTTCACCCTAAAATTAATGATTCCCATATGGGGACCTCCAATTTGTCCCCATAAGGGAGGCGAGTCCCCACACGTGACTGTGTAAACAGATTTAGGTCCCCACAAGTATAGTAATGCTAGGCCACACACACACATACACACACACGGCGCAGGGAAGTAAGCCGGTGCAGCAACCGTTTATTTTTATTTTATAGAAATCTTCCCCTCTGTAAAGCATTGAAGAATAATCAAGATACAATTAATTTGACTGGAACAAAGTTTATATGCATTTGAAACAGTTTAAAACATTCTCACCAGACTGACAGAGAACTAAACAAAAAATGCTTTGATGAAAAGGATAGAAAGCTTGATTATGATATTTATAATTTAATTTATATCTCCCCCACACTCTTTCTATTTGGCTATAGGCAGAAATGAGGACATTTTTAAGTTGATATTAATGTTCTGTGAAGAATCCATAACCTGTGTATTACAGTTTTTCTCGATTGCTAACACACTAAAATTATACATAAAGCACAATTATTTTAACTGACACTCAAAGAGCAAAACATCGGCTCAAATCTCCAAAACACGTTTTCAGCTTTTCACACAATTTGCAAATCAACATGGCACTTTGTGCAAACCACTGCACACGTTTCTCCACGTAAGACACAGGAATCTGACATAAAGTCACGTGTGAGCAGGTTTAAAACACTGATATTCAAAATGCCTCACACATGGACCAATGATCAAGAAACACGTTCCACCTGACCAAACACCTGGTAGCATAATTGTTGGCTCATCAATCAGGATGTTAGCACTATGAAAAGACCACAGGTGAGTACTTTCTTACAGCAACAATGGAAGCCAACATGGAAGGATGCAAGAGCAAGAGCTGGGCTGAGAGTGAGAGGAGGAGGAAGAAGAGTACTCTCTAATGAAATGAAATGTTATCAACCATGGTTTGACGATGAGAGGCTGGACAGAGGGTTCAGCCTAATCTAAGCCGATGTACTGTTGCCTCTGTAATCCGGACACTTAGACTTGAAAACAGGTTAGTTACCAGTTTGTAGCTCTGCATAGTTCATGATATATCAGAGCTTATATCTGTTGTGTGAAACGTATTTACTTCATTACTGTAATTGAATTGTTGGCATGTTGCATACTATAACTGTACAACAACCCTGCACAATGTACTGTGGTAAACTCACTTTGATGCAACACAGACACTGACCAACCACTATGTCTTTGTTGTTTATCTGAAGGACTGAGAAACAAAGAGGTGCAGGTGGAAGACTAAGGATTTCCAATGAGGCAGGAAGCAGCAGTTACAAACTTGGTTTTGAGATGCATGTTGCACAATGTTATTTTTGAATAAAATATGATTTTTTTTCAACAACTCATTTGTATTTCTTCATTCACTGTATTTTTATATAAGCAAGCAATTTTTCTCTGCAGAAACCTCTATGTACAGAGCATAGCCCATAACAGATGGAAGTGGCTGGGTGGTCAAACTAAAAAATGTGTGTTAGCAATCGAGAAAAACTGTAACAGATAATGAATACGTTTTAATAAATATGAACTATTAGGTATCTATTATTAATAAATTATTTATAAATCAGCAAAATGCAAGCTCTTTTATTTGAATAATTGTACATCATTCAATTATTATGTTATGAAGATCCAGAAGTAGATTAAGTTGAAATGATTGCCACTCGCAATCTCTATTCCTCTCAGAGGAAAATGATTACATGAAAACAAACCAACACACGCACACTAATAAACAGAATGAAAAGTGAGCGAGATTAGAAGATGGACAAAAACAAACCCTTTTTGTAATTTATCGCAGCTGCATTTTTCACTGTCAAATTGAAACAGTGGTGGAGAGGACGCTGATGACAAGGTTACATTGTATTTACTGTGGTGAGAGATGGAGAGAGGAGAGGGAGAGAAAGATGAAAAGAGAAGAGGAGAGAGATGATAAAGAACAATCAAGAAAGAAAGAAAAGCAGAAGAAGAGAAAAGAAGATAAAGAAAGAGGAAAAGGTGAGGAGATGAAAAAAGAGAGAAAAGTAGAGAAACAAAGACAAAGAAAGAAAAAAGAAACAATGAACGTAAGGGAAAGAGAAACAGCAAAAGGAAAGAGTGAGCAAGAGAGAGAGAGAAGGAAAGAGGAGTTGTGATATTCTCTGTGGTCCCTCGTATATTACAACAGGGCCCTGGAAGCTACAATATCCCCCCACTGAGAGACACACACACACACACACACACACAACACACACACACACACACAACACACACACACACACACACACACACACACACACACACACACACACACAACACACACACACACACACACACACACACACACACACACACACACCACACACACACACACACACACACACACACACACCACCACACACACACACACACACACACACACACACACACACACGCACACACACACACACACAAACACACGCACACACACACACACACACACACACACCTCTCTGACAAAGCAGCGGTAACACAGTGCGGCACAGGGCAGCACTGCCAGCTTTTATTAATAGGACTATGCAGGCAGAGAGGGAGAGCGAGAGAGCGAGATAGTGCTGCATCAGGAAGTGTTGCAGATCTCTGTGAGAGTCCTGCTATCCGTATGGAAATGGTTATTGCTTATTCCTTTTACAGAAAAACGGCAGAAACTATTTTTTTATGTTTTAAATAGAGGTATTAAAATCATGGCTAAAAGAAAAAAGAAATTACAAATGTGTGTAACACCCTTTTGGACAACTGTATTTTCTTTCCCTTTTCACACTTTAAGCCTTTTATACATTTGTTTATTAAATTAGCGTATCACGGCCATGATGACTAAACAACTTCATGTATGCTACATTCCGGATGCTACAGTTGTGTCTATGTTAAATACAATAGATGAACCAACTGAATGATGGGTAGATTAAACAGGTGAGCTAGAAATTCAGAAACACAATAAATCAGACTTCCAATCAGCGTCTGTATTCTGGTCTCATCAACCCTCAACAAAGGAAACTAATTCAAATACTTTTGTGAGCCAGACTACTAAACAGTAAATACAAAAAGGCTTCAAATCCAGTGAGAACAAACTATAATCACCACGCACGATTGTCAGCATCAGCATAACAACAACTTGTCTTCACAGCAATAACTCTGTGTACATCAGTCTTAAATAAACACCTGTCTTATTGAATCTATCTTAATAAAATGTAGTCTTTTAATTAAGTCCCTGCAGAAACAAACCTTCTGAGTTATTTAATTCATTCATTAGAATCCCTAAACACAGCGACACTTAAACATTAATAAAGCCGCCCTGCAGAGGGGGATCGCTCTCCTAAAATACGATATTGAACTGAAACCATCTCCCATCATAGAGCAGTGAGCTCTGAAAGCAGATCGATGTTTGACATGATTTATGATTGGAAGCTGGGAGCAGCCACTGTAACAACTTGTGCTCTGATGTGGAAAAGAAAATAATATCGTTTCTTTATGCTGTCTGTAGAGCTGTCTCTCAAAATCAAAACGTTTGCACCGTCAGCTCTACATGGAGAGTTTGACTGCAGCTGAATCTGGTTGAAATGATTTTAAAATACGCCCATCCCCTTGTTCTCAGATATTTTGGATCCCATTACAGATCTGTTGTATTAGCTTTTCCCAGGATGCAGTGGGAAGAAAGCAGAAACAAATGAGTTGTCACATCCTGAGAGGGCATATCTAAAGACTAAACAAAAATAAATGGTCACTGCAAGGTTAGGCTCTAACGACTGACATGATCAATGCAATCCAAATGAGCATAATAAGATTTTTCTTTTCCTAAAAATCGATATGGATGTTCACAAATCACAAACCTTGAGCCCTGAGTCAGACTGGTTAGCACCTCTGCTGCATCCTTCAGAGGATCTGGGCTCAGAGCCATAATGGAGGCCACCATCTGACTGTTCTGACCCGCAGGGAACACAGCCATGGACAACAATAACGGATGCACCTTGATAAATACTGTGTTCCTGCTCGCTTCAAACCTCACTGGAGTTTCTCAAGGGGAAAAAATCCATCTCATCCACAAGTTAAATGTTCACACTTGCACCAGATAGTGCTGCACCAGGATACTTTGAGAGTGAGAGTGTGACTGTGAAGGGGCTGAATGAGCGGTTAGCTTTATGTCCATAATACGATCACTGCTTTTGATTTCTACCAAAAATGTTGCTTTGGCAGAGATTGTAAACTGAATTTTGTATTATTTACCTATTCACATCATCATATTTCATAACTTTACTTCCATGACGCCTCTCATATTAAATACAGTTAGAAAAGTAGCACAGATTCAAGGCCACTAAAGTCTCTGGATGCTCTGAAAGGCTCTACACAGCCCCAACACTCATCCTCACAAGTGTTTGCACTTAATAGTTTGTCAACTTGATTGAGACGCTTGTTGCACCTGTTAAGTGAGACAACTTATTAATATAATTCACAGGACAGCTTTACCCAACTCAAACATTAAAAGAGTTTTAATATAGCAGAATAACTAAGACGTGAAGATGACTGGGAGACAGGCCTCAGCTATTGTTTATGTTGTGGAAATATTTTCCAAGGCCCATAACTTTGACCCAGTGTATCAGTTCAAACTGTCCTGACTGAGCACAGGCACCTGTAACCTTGGCTGCTGTGCTCTCAGTGTTTTGTCTCCCTATTCCTGCCTGTTGGCGTCAGCTGATAGAGGTGTTATCATTCTATCTTGTTATGCAGCATGTTGATGATGCTCTCTGAACTAGCTAAATACATGGGTCTGGGGTAGAGTTCTTCAGAATTGACGTGGCAACTCTACCGTGAAGTCAGAACCTCTGACTCTTGGACTTGTGATGTGAATCCTCCGGCCGTTAACTCCAAATAAACCATCATGTGTTTGACATCAAAGCTACTGCTCTTCCCGTGTCTCCTTCCTGAGTCGGTGACTCCCACTGCATAGCTACACAGAAGTTTCCTCTACAGTTTATAGCAACACAAATATTTTGCAAGCTTTGCTGCAAAAGAAAAGTTTTGTTCTTGTACGGAGTTATGACAACATTGACTCTGTCCTTGCAGATGTCCAAGGCTCCCTGAAGAACTCCATTCAATTAATTCAGTCTTACCTCTGATTGGTTCACTGCCCAATAATGGAGACGCTGGTAATGATTATTCACATCTCAATGATTCCATTAGACCGCTCTGTGCCGGTGTCAACGTGCATGTGTGTGTTAGCAACAAAACTGACACACACACACAACACACAACACACACACACACACACACAACACACACACACACACACACACCACACACACACACACCCACACACACACACACACACACACACACACACACACACACACACACACACACACACACACACACACACACCACACACACACACACACACACACACACACACACACACACACACACACACACACACACACACACACACACACACACACACACACACACACAACCACACCACACCACACACCTCTTCATCTTCCACAAAACTGTACAAGAAAACCAATCTGCTGTGAGCATTGTTAATACATACATTGTACGGTATGTAATTAAGTTTTGATCAGGATACAATTATACCTTTTTCATGGCTCTTCCCTTTTAATAAAATAACGAAAAAATCCAACGTGTACAATTACAATATGAATACAGCAGTCGCAAAGCTAAATTCTCAACTGGAGTAGCCTATGACTTATTAGCATCGGTTTGACCATCTCTATATAAGACTAGGCAGGCCCCTCTGATCTAATATAAGGTATTGAAACAGAGTAAAAATGTTAAACGAGAAATAATGAAAAATGGATTGAAGGTTCAGAAATATGCCTTTATAGGGCAACAAGTCTCATTTCTGTGAGCTTGCAGGTGATCATGACTGTGGGACTCATTTATATGCTCCACACTAACACAGAGAGGAGAACAATTTATAATCAATCGCACACACACAAACACAAACACACACACAAACACACACACAAAGCAAGGTTTGTAAAAAGAAAATACTACTTCGCTCTTTTAGTCAAGATAAAAACAGAGGGTGAAATCACTGCATGTCAAGCATGTTGGAAAATAGTTGCCCCTTTGGGTTCTACTTTAGGACGTTGGGAATCGTTTAAACACACCCGACACACATTTCACCTTTTTATCTTACAATAAAAACATTTTTGGGGAAATATTGTCCTACCATTATTCCGGCTGGACCGACCGCTCCATTCTCTCCCTTTCCCCCAGCAGCACCCTATAACACAAACAAAGACATTACATCCCAGTTGGTCACACCAAAGGACGGGAAAAACCAACATTAGTTATCTTAATAAGCTTCTGGGCCACCATGAGTCCCCAGAACAGCTTCAGACAAAATACTTCAAGGTCTGAAAGTCGATGTGGGGCATACGTTAACATTTGTCAGTTCTTAGTAGCAACTGGTTGACAGCTCAAATGTCTTATTGCACACTTTCTGTGGCCATGTTTCATCATGATTCAATGCAGCAGTGATGTTTGGCATTGCCTTTGACCAGTTTTCCTTTTTTTTCTACATCTTTTATCTCAAACACGTTCCATCTTAACATTCGAGCCACAGTTTTGGGAGGTGAAGCTAGCTAAATAAGGCTTATATAATCCTAAAACTATGAAGTAACTGTGGATATTTCCAAGATGTTGATTTCCCTAAGAAATATAACATTATACTGCACTAGGGCTGTTCGATTATGGCAAAAATCATAATCACGATTATTAAATACGATTATTCATTGACTTTGAAAACATCCATTTATTGAACTTTAAAACAAATACAAATAATAATTTGAACAGTATCTTTTTAACTGTTGATTACCCTGAACGTATAATTCAACTGAAAAACCAATACAAAAATAAATGATACATTTATATTTAAATAAATAATATCAAAGTAATAAATACCAATAAACAAGATCAACACATATTTTGGAGCGCACTTCCACAAGCTACAAAAAATATATTAATATGATAAATAAAAATAAATTAGACCAAAAATAAATGTGTGCACTGTCACAACCGAGCAAAGCAAAATAATCGTTTATTTCGATTATGTTGTTTTCGTAATTGTGGCAGGCCAAAATCCTAATTGCGATTAAAATATGATTAATTGCACAGCCCAATACTGCACACAAGCAAAGTCTTCTTACCGGGGGCCCCTGGATAGAGAGACCGCTGGGTCCCTGAGGGCCGGGTGGTCCTGAAGGTCCAGTAGGGCCAAGCTCTCCCAGTGGCCCTTGAGGTCCCTGTGAAAACAAGACAGTGGATTTTAAAGTTCCATGTTCATTTTAGATTCTTTTTAAACAACATTGACAACTCTTTAGCTCAGCAGCAGCCGTGGCCAAAGTAATCTTCACTCTGGCTTTATTTGTTGATTTACTATTCAACCATACAGTTACTGGCTTCATGTCCCTCTGATCTATGCAAATAATCAAAAGAAAGGTTGTATCAAATATAAATGAATGGAGTAGGGTGTGGAAATAAACACAAGGTCCAAAATGTGGGTAATGTTTAACTAAATGATGAAATCACTCAAATATGTCGCTGAAGAGACAAATTGGTTTTTCAGATGAAGATTATAGTTAAATGTTTATTGTAATAACGGCACCAGTTATTTTCCCATGTGTCTGTGCTTATACTGTAACAAGCAATTTACCCACATTGATTGGTGTGAATGAAGAAGGATGAGTTCATGGAAGAGCTGGTCTCATACAACAATATCTGACTATTGATATAAACTTGGCTATAGCTGCAGAGATACAAATGCTGCTAAGACAAGTGTGATCTGGCAGACAATTATTAACATGTATGTGTGTGTGTGTGTGTGTGTGTGTGTGTGTGTGTGTGTGTGTGTGTGTGTGTGTGTGTGTGTGTGTGTGTGTGTGTGTGTGTGCCAGCAGGACAGAAAACCACATCACACTCCAAAACTAACACTAGTACACCCATCAAAAATAACACATATGGCCTGTATTAAAAAAAAAAGTTGGACGAATATGATCCTGTCTTTGTTTCAGTCGTTGGGATGTGCTTAAGTTCTGGGTGGGCCACTTCATGTTGTTCACTTGACACACTGTCATTCAACTAAGTCCAAGTGTGATATATGGTTGAAATAAACAAATGTATTGTGTTGATTGACAGCCCTGCGTGTCTGAGCAGTATAATGGAAGATCTCCTGCTGCTTCTTTCAACATAATAAATTATTTAAAACATATTTTATTAAATGCAAGATTCAATTACATACGTGGGAACTGGCTATTGGTGGTGAGCAACAAATCCAAAAACATTGCACTGACTGTCACAGCTGGATGGTTTGTCAACGCTTGGAACAGACTGCCATAGCAAAACTGTAGCAGATGCAAACTAAAGTAAGTATCACATTAATAGTCCAAGCAAGGATTAGCAGGAACTGGATAGTAAACGTGGCGAGAGCTTGCCCTAAGTTTAGGGCCAAAACGAAGATGAGGTGGTCTGGGAAAACAACTATTTAGGGTTTTCCAAAATGTCCACTTCATAAAGCCCAAAGGTGCTTCACATCCAGTCTGGAGGATGGAGTGGGATGCTGTTGAAAAGGCTCTTTGATTGTGAGTCGGGGGCATTGCTTACTCACCACTCACTTCTTTCCTTCTATCATTTAATCAGGATGGGGGCGGGTCTGTCCCTGGAGTTAGAGGTGTGGCTCAGCGTGATTAGGTTATGAGTCAAATGTATAAGAAACAAAAAGACAAGTTGTGTAGGCTCTCATTTATTTTCATCATGGAATGGGGCGAAGTCTTTTTTCGATCTGGATAAACTTTAAATAGGAAATCATGTGGCTCTCCGGTTGCAGACAGTCCATTTTTGATTGGCTGTTTGTTCTTCACCATATTAAAGACACTTAGAAAGTGCTCAGTATTTTGTAGAACAATGAATGGTCTCCGTAATGACTGACTACCAGATTAAATAGCCCGTACAAAAAAGAAAGTAATAAATCAGGAGATTAAGATTTTTGCATTTTAACATAGATTTACATACATTTGAAAACGCAAGGAGGATATGACCCCATTGTTAGTGTTAGTGTTAAGTGCTTTTACTAACCGTCACTCCTGACTCTCCTCGGTCTCCTCTGGCTCCCCTTATGCCTGGACCGCCCTGAAACACACAGCATACACACACTGTTAAAACAGCACATGGTCAGTGTGTACAAGTTGTGCGCCTAGAAACTAAGACATGGCATAGAAACACTGCACTGAAAAAAGATCTCTTGCTGAATTATATAAAACGACGCACATCTGCTGATCATTGGACCATTTGAGATACATCCCTTTCCTGTGTTTGCTTAAACAGGCCTCCCCTGGGACCAAAGTGGTGACTAGGTAGTTCCTACAGTATTAAGTCACATGGGACAGGAGGGATGTTTACAAGAAGGGCGAGCAATTAGAGAGAAGATGTGGTAACGTGTAAATGGAATCATATGTTTGTTTTACCAATTTCTATACCAGACATATCATCCTATTAGTTGATAACGATGGCATTTCATTGGTTTTGTTCTTATATAGAAAGTTAAATCCCAACAAACTGGTGACCAAAGTCTGAAGTCTGACAGTTTGCTTATCCCTTATCCCCTGTCAACATCCATCAGTGGATTGGCACTGTAGCTATTGTATTGTGACAGGGAGGTAAGATTGCAGTGACCAATAACTCTGTGGCATGCAAATTAATCATTTAAAAAAGTTTGAACTTGTAAGGCAAATCCTTTCCTTTAAATTCTTCTTTTGGCAGCAATACAAATAATTGTGTTTGGATTTTTTATCGGCCTTTAATGGTAATAGAAAAAAGGTACACTGCTATTATAATTTAACAAAGCAATTTGATGCCAAAGGCAAATGTACATGTTTTAAACAAAAGCATGGCCATAATTCAATCTTAACAACAGGAGATAGCAGGCGGTCGTGTTTTCCTTAATGTCAGGGTGATTGCTGAGTGATGTTCAGTTTTGAGCTGAGTCTCTGCCAAATCAGGCGGCACAGATTGCAATTCAGTTGAAGCAATCAATATTATTTCAAACATGACTCAAAGATTGATCAAACTGAAGAGACCGGCTGCTGTGTGAGCCACAGAAACATGCATCTGACAGTTAACACGAGCACATCAATTACTCTTAGGAAGGAAAAAACGATATTTCGTATGCTGATACTAGAGTCTAGTCCATCTGATTTCAGCTGTACCCGTGATTCAAATGGCCTTAATACAGTTGTGTCTCTGTAGACCCTAAAAACAAGAGAATATTTAAAGAGGACATATTATGCAAATGTTCAGGTTAATATATGTATTTTGTGCTTCTACTATTACATGTTTCCATGCTTTAATGTTCAAAATGGGCTTTATTTCTCTCATACTGCCTGTGCTGAAGCACCTCTTTTCACCCTCTGTCTGAAACCAGAGCCCAGTCTGCTCTGATTGATTAGCTGGCCGGTTCTGTTGTGGTTGGTCTACTGCTTAGAGAAATGGCAGAAAAGTCCCGCCCCTAAACAAATCGTGTAAAACGTGTTGGAGCGCAAGCCAATAGAAGCCCACTCGTTACATAATATCATCATCATATGAAAGTAAACAAAGCAGTCAAATTGAGGCATTTCAGGGAGGAGGGAACTTTGGGCTTTTACCCAAACAAACTATAGAAAGGGAAAACCCCAAAAAGCATAATAGGGCCTCTTTTATACAAAGTTAGGAGGTTCAATAATCTCTACGTTCAGATGGCCGCTTAATCTTCTTCTAATAATTATTTGTTCCACAGCTCATTTGCCTTCCAGTTGTCTTCCAGTGTGTTTAGACACAGCATCAGTTATCCCAATAGATCCAGGTATTTATTTGGCTTTCTCGACACTCCTTGGTTTATCAGAGGGAGCAAAGTCTCAGCAGCACAACAACAAATGTTTATACTGAAAGTCTCTTTTCGGACTCTGAAAGTTTTGTTATTTGTAGGAGGCTTGTCTTCCCCAGAGGACATCAATAGATTAAATGTGTTAACCATTATATGGCGTTAACATGGGGATGGCACTTATATCAATCCTTCCCTAAAACTCCTCTTACTATAGCAAACAGTTTTAGCACAAAAGTGTCTATGATTTTGCTATGATTAAACTATTCATCTACGCCTATATGCTGCAGTTACCGTGTGATTTACGAAGCCTTTTCAATGCCAGCAAGAGAGACAGACACGGCCACAGAGAAAGAGGCATAGAGGGATAATAAATAAAGAGAAGGAGAAAATAGGCTCGGGCGTGTGGATGATGTGGAGGTAAAAAGAAAACGGAGAAAAGAAGAAACAGAAAGACGATGGAGAGTTGAAAGCTTCACCTGTATTGATCGGGTTTGGAGAGAGAACGATAGACAAAGGGAGAAAAGGAAAAGAAAGATGGAGTCAATGCGCAGTAAAGAGAGTGGAAAACTATAAAAGGAAAACAGAGTGTTCACTTTTAAAGTCTTAAATATTGGTTTTCCCTGATATCAAGAAAAAAGATAAACACACAAGATTTCAGTTTTAAACGATGACCCGAGATAAACCTCAGCTATCTTCTTTGATTTTCATGGTTAAACTGATATTTGTTTTACTGTATGTTCCTGGCATAAGAATGACACATTAAAACAATAACAAGATCAAAGCAAAGACAGAGAGTATAAAGGCAGGCTGTGGCCTGTGGACGTAACCCTACAGAGGAGTAAGTGGATCAGGCTCGTCGGATAGGGAAGACAATGGGGGGGATGTAATCGGCCGTGATAAATAGAACCAGCATTAAATTACTTTCTCAAACTATAAGGGTGTTGATCCAGACAGCGCTCAGCCCTCAGTACACAGAAACAGAGACAAGAGAGAAGGCAAGAAGGGAGAACTAAAGAGATTGAGAAGCAAAGAAAACAGAAAGGATGGAGAATGCAGAGTGGTAAATAGAAAGGGAGAGAATATTGGAAAAAGAGAGAATAAGTCAAAGGCTGTAAATGAGCTCATCTACTTGCTCTCATCTCTCAGCCTCTATCGGGTTTTACCTGTGACTGCGTGAGAGGAATACAGCTGCTCCACAAGCCCATCCATCGCTCTCTAACACACCGCCTCACTGCGCTCAAAGATTTGTAATTCTACATTCAGAGCTCTCATAATACAACATAAAGAAGCCAGTTGCATAGAGACTATCTGTGTTTGGATATAAATATATACTTTGTTTATATTAATGCAGATGATTTGATGTAATGTGTCTGTTTGTGATGACACATATTTCCTATGTTAAGATTGGGTGAAATAATGAGTGTTTCTGTAATCTGTTTGTTTATATTAGCACCATCTTACCCGCTTAGAGAAATAATAATTAAACTGAGCTGGATTACATTTGTTTCTTTCCTTCACATTCAATTCTTAATTACCCAACAGGAAATGTTCAACTTAGCTGTCAGAGTGGCTGTTTGTCTGTGAAATTGACCAGCATTGTCTAATATTTACAGAACAGACACTTCAGGAATACTTATAACATGTATAATGAGAGTCTAGAGACGATCAAAGTGAATACCTGATGTATTAATCTTCTAGGTATGTTTATAAATGACAGAAGAAAGAAACCACGCCGGTCTGTGGAAAGACAGAGACCGATGAAAGAAACATGATCATCTGGGCCTTATCAGAATGAATAAGAGATGTCTTACAGGGGGTCCTGAAGGTCCTGGAGGTCCTTTGCTGTCCTGGGAGCAGGTACAGGCATGAGGCAAGGAAGGGCACTGCTCCTCAACTCTCTGAAACACACAGAAATGCATGGGGTGTGAGTGCACTTTGTCTCTGCAGGTGAGATGTGAGCTGCATCATTTCAAAAAACACCTGGAGCTGGCCAGAAGAACTCATAGCTATGGTTAAACATGCTTGCCAGCGTCTCTCAGGTCTGTGAGCACTGTTAGAGCTCTTTCTAAATACAAATCAATGTTTGCTTCGTCCACTTGAATTCTGATGAAATACTTCATTTCAACACAACTTTATGTCAAGGAACTTTAATACAGGGTCATTCACAGGTTACAAATAAGTCCTTGCTGTCTCTTCAAATCTTTGCTTTCAAAATACTGCAATCAGTGTAAAATAACTAAAGGTTCATATTTTCAGTGTCTTTTATGAATGCCTCCTTTTACTTATTATTGACTTCTCAGAAATGGACATTTTATTTAATAAAAACATTTTTGCAGAAAAATGAACTGAAGCTGCTTAAGGTGCCTCTTTTGATTGTAAGGAGATGTGTTTTTCCTCTGTGGATTTCAGACTCTATGGTTTTGCATTGGATTGGACCCTTTTTGAGACCCCTTTTCTGGACTATATTTGAGATGACCGGGCCAGGCTCTTCGGAGGCCAGCCTATGGAGATCTATGGACTGAGATGTCCACGTAGGTCTTAGTGTTTAATACTGTATGCCATCATCCTATCATTTACACTAATTGTATGTATCTTCTTTAATAATTATGTATATATTTAAATAAAAAGTAATAACCACAACATTTAAAAATGTCTGATTGTCAACAAAAGGTTCTTAAAAACAATGCTTTATGGATTGCAGAGGTGAACATAATTAAACCATTGACTCATTGTATGTTTTATGCCTGGGGTGGTCATTGATAATTGCGGCTCGTACACAGACATGCTCAGAATTGTATATTACGTGCTGGAGAGATAACAATTGTCATTAGGTGCATTTATTTGACATAAATTAAATTACGCACCTGAGCACTGGAAATACTAGTGGCAGCATGTCTCTGCTAATAGCGGCTCATACAGTCCAAGTCATTCTGGTGTTATTATCCTTCAATTTGATTTAAACCACAATTATCACTCTAATGATCTAAGCCTGTATTATTTAGAGCCCTAAACTACTGCCCACTCAGAGGGGGAGGCAGTACAAGGATGTATTAAAGTTAGTAAGAATGTGTGTAAGAGAGATTATATGTTACATTTCTTACCAATGCTGGCAGCTCACAACACTTATCTCTGCTGGCCCAGGATGTGCTGCAGATGATGTCAAACATCTGGAGCTGGAACTGTAAACCCACACAAGTTTGAGTACACTTACACCCACACACAAAGCAGATCCCAGTAATAATGCAATCAAAATAGTATCAGTTTAAACATTTCAAGAAGTAAAGAGGCAACATTACAAATGGAATATATTTCTCATGGTCATTCGGTGTTTCTGTGTCGATAAGAAATGAGAACAGATGCAGTTTGGCGCTAATGAGCAGCTGAAAAGAACTGGGAGATATGTGACATCTGGCGGATATCATCAACAAGTAACATGAATGTGCGGGAGGCCCCACCAGTCTTAAACTATAAAGCAGGCCATACATTAATTAAGTCATGATCTCTGATTTAAAGTTTCCTTGTCACTACTGAAAAGGCAGCCGTCTGTTCTCATTCTTTCCATTAGAAAGGCAGTTTTTGTGTGAACATTTCTAACCATCCAAAAACAGGACATTTTAATACTCAACGAAAATCCATAACAAACTTTAGACGGATAGATATCACAGACACAACCTAACCTGGAACTGTTTTATATAGGAAGTTAAATACAAACACAAACACATGAGATCAGATTCTTTCTACTGGTTAAAATATGGGCAGTTACTCTTTTACTTTATTGTAATCATCATTATTATTTATTTTAAGTGCAGGCTTCTGTATGGAAAAATTCTACCTGTTTCGGTCAGGTTTCATATTCACATGGCCTGCATTAGTTAAAAAAGGTACAGAAGTCAAAAAGTTTAAGAGCATCCACTGGACTCTGTTACCTCAACTCTATTAACTTTATATTTGACAAATCTAAGACAACGAACGGAAATGTGAGTTAAATGTTTATAATTCCTGCCCTGTGTGATACTGTCTAATCCTTGTGTTGATAGTTCATCTATTACGGCACCACAGGGGGTCTTAGACTCTTAAAAGCTGGGCAGTGTCAGTCAAACTGAACTAACATTGAGACCTGAAAGAAATCTTGAGAACAGTTCACTCTTTACAGTATACATGCTGATGTAGTCACTTTTGTAATCCTCTAAATCAATGCATCACCTAAACACCCACAGGCCCTTCTGTGGAGCCTAAAACTAAGTACTTATTCAAATGAAGACTTCACTTCTGGACAACTGAAAGTACAGAAGGTAAAAGAGAATAAATTGGCGCCTGGTAAAGCTACCATTTTGTTTTCATTTTCTAATAATTACCTTTTGCAAAGACCTTTCCAAACTTGACAGACACACAATATATTTAAATCCATAACAATTACATGACAATCTGGTGCTAAGTGAAGAAAATGTCATATTTTCTTTATTTTCCCACATAAAAACTACTTCATGCTGCAATTCTCCAGCTGATAATTTTCTTTGCAGCAGGTAAGAAGTGTAAATGTAATAATAGCAGTGCTCAGTTTTCCCAGAAGCACAGTATTCCACACCTTCTCCCCTGCCTTCGTATGCCAAATGTTTTTAGTGGTTGTGGTACTTAATGGGTATAACACAGCTAACAAAGTATATGTAAAGAACTTTGTACAGGTTCACTTGCTAAAATAAAATGAACTCCTTTGTGACTCACTAAAATGTTTTTGGGATATTAATGGTTGCCTTGCTGAAGGATTGTTGCAAACTATGCACAAGGGACACTTAAAAATTGTGTTTTACAATATAGACCTACTGTGGGAGGAAAAAGCAAGCATTTATGTAAAAACAGATTATTAAATAAATTCAGCCCTAGCTTGAAAATGTATTGAATACGCCAACATCTACAAGTTCTTGTACTTTCTGAATGGACGATACCTATAACATTTAATGACCATGAACATAGAAGTATACAAACACCATTCAATGAGGGTGCACTAAACAACAATTCATTATAAGAAAATCATACTGACTGGAGCAGAGTTGTCCCGGCTGCCTCTGGACCGAACCAGCCTTCCAAGGATCTCCACTCCATCCGTGGTGATGTTTCCAGCCGCGCTGACTGGTTTCTCCTCGACCGCTGAACAGTCCAACACCACCTTCACAGACGTCTTGCTGATGGTTACATGGAGCTGTATGCAAGAGAGACAACAATTATGCATAAGATTTGATTTGTTTTGCCTTTATTACCCATTATGATTGTCATAGATATAAAACTCATTAGATATAGTCCATGGAACAGAGTTGTAAAACCATTTAAAGTGCAGCATTTTTCTCAGGTCTTGCATCTGTGGTCAGCCAAGACCACTTCTTCACTTAATCGCAATGACAATAGGTTTCCTCATGCTTGTTAGGATACTTATAACAGAGGTTAAAAGCACACAAATTGTCCCATCCACTTAGAGTGGCTGTGAGCTCAAACTGCCTCCTTAGAGGACACCACTGGCAGCGCCCTGAACTGTGAAATTTGACAGTTCACATAGGTAATGAGCAGAGAGGGCTGCAGCCTGGTGAAGGGTAGTAATAAACTGTACTACTAGCAGCCCCATATTATGCCATATACTGTAGGGCGGATTTCAAACACTCTCTTCCACCCTAAAAAAAAGGGATGCATGCATTGTAAGTTAACAACAACCTCAAGACACAGGCACACAACAAGATGCAGCTGGAAGGCAGTTAGACAAAGTTCATATTCAAGTGTCAGTATCCATTCCTCGACTGACGTTTTGACGGCACTCACTAATGACTTTCTGGAACTTTATTCTTGAAAATTGACTATTTGAACCATTTCTTTGCTTTATGAAATCCCCAAAACCTGTCAAGATAAAAAAAAAAAGCAGTTTTTTTAAGCAAAAATGTTTTTTTTGGAGACGTGCTGCACTGCGACAGGTTGGCATACTTATTTATACTTTAAAACGGACATGTACAGGGAAAGTTAACATGCATATGAAATCATCACTCATTATCACGGTCACAGCGTTAGTTAGTTCGTAGTGTATAATCACATTACAACTTAGAACGGGTTTCTGCAACAACGCGTGAGTACCAGTGAGTTTAAAGCTTATTGTAATGTAATAAAAATGCTTTTCTGTTGTTTTTGTACATCTGAGATTAAAAAAAACAAAGATGTCTTTGTACATTAATATTATTTTTAGATTTGTGCCTGTGTTTAAAATATTCAAATCAGCTAAATTAAAAAAAAAGTATTTTGCAATGGAAAAACTTTATGAACTTGGAAAGAAAGTTAGCTTGTTTCAGCTGTGTGTGTCTGACTTTCAGTTCAGTCAAAAGTGACCAAAACAAAAAACCAGACTAGAGAAACGAGGCTAAAATATAAAAAATATCAGAAGCATAATGTTTTTTTTCTCTATGTTGCTCCTTGCGGCTGGCTGGAAACTACATAATCCAAAGCTAATACTTCTGCCAGCACAAGATGAATTAGCCTCTCAGAAATACACAGCCTTGTATTTTTCCTACTGCTGCCTTACACATCAACAGTTTCCATCTCTAATGTAAAGCCTCATTTATTTGTGACTCTCTGTCAGGCAAATAACCTTTTATTTTTTATTTTCTAAACAAATTAATACATTATCTTTGTCATATGACTTTGTAATAGCTGAGAAATTGAATAGCAACTCTCTATTGTACATTGATAGAAAGCTAAACACTGAACTATCAACTGAACTTTATCTGTGCTGTTATTTTAGTGTTCATGTGTTAATTTTGTGTCAAAAGAAAAAAAAGATAAAGGTTTTCTCTGTGCAGAATTTTAGAAAACTTTGACTTTTTGAAATAGTTTTATGCTCCAGGGGTATTTATATTTATATATATATATATATATATGAGAACATTTAAATTAAAGTTGTTTGTGAGCATAATGATGACAGATTCAAAAAGATTAAAGAGCCAAGTTCAAAAAACTTGTTAATTCAACCAATGAAATATGAAGGAAGAGGAGAGGGAAAAAGAGAGTTGAAGAAGAGAATGAAAGAGGGGGCATACTTTAAAGGTCCCATGTCATGCTTTTCCGGTTATTACCCGTCCCCTTGTGTGTTATGTAGCTTTTTCTGCATGTAAACGGTCTGCAGAGTCACAAACCCTCAAAGTACACCCTGTAGCGAGTACAACTCTAACACAGAAAAGACCTGTCCATGCTGCCCCAGAACGCCTCGTTGGAGATTTTCCTTTTTCCATTTGTTTTCTTCCTGGGTATGGTGACGTAACCATGCCCAGGTCCAAATGTTTCGCCGGCACACACACTTTTCTCAGCCGCGGCTCCATGGATCTCCACTCACAGTTCGCCACACACTCACGTGTGTGTGCTCAGGCTGAGTTCCGCGGTCTCTCGCTGTCTCGCAGACCCCACGCAGCAACCAGGAAACGAGCCTCAAAGAGCGGAGCAGCGAGCCCCGCAACGTCCCGCCAACACGGCACCCAGACGCCATGCAGCATTCTCATCTGTTTGTCATTACTGGTGTCATTTTCTGGTTGTTAACAAACGCCATTGTAAAACATAATCACACATCAGAGCACAGTGGGCTCATAGGGAGGGGGGGGGGGGGGGGGGGGGTGCAGGAGCTCCAACAAGGCGTTTAGGACAGAGAGTGAATACACATACTATACAGAGATGCTGTATGAGAAACCAATGTGAGTTTGGAACATTGAACAATGTAAATCTATTCTAGTAGACCTCAACAATGGAATTATGATCAGTAGAAATGGCCATGCCATGGGACCTTTAAGAAATGAAACATCAAATCAGCATATTCACTTTATCTCAACTCTTCGTAGTTTCTAAACACAAAAAGAAGAAGTGCCTCTGATATAGTGATGGAACACACTATACACACACACACACACACACACACACACACACACACACACACACACACACACACACACACACACACACACACACACACACAACACACACACACACACACACACACACACACACACACACACACACACACACACACACACACACACACACACACACACACACACACACACACACACACACACACACACACACACACACAGAGTTATGACCGTCTTTAAACATGCTGTGAGAGATAATGTGGGTTGGAGTAGATGAGGCTATCAGTATTTCTGCTGACTCAGCTTTCTCTGACCTGCACTTAAAAGTGCACATGCTCGCTTGTGTGAGTGTGAGCGTATGTGATCGTGAAGCTTTTATATTTTGATTCATGTATGTTTGAGCATTACATGCAGGAATGCAAGCACCTTCTCTTTGCCTGTGTGCGTACAACATGAGTGTTTCCTCATTTCCTGCCCTCTCTAGTCAGCCATTTTTGCAAGCAATCAATCTTTAAACACTGCTTTGAATTAGATGGAGAACACCTTTAGACTATTTATTCAGAAACTGCTCTTTTAACCAAATGTAGCTTCTTCTACAAGTGCTAGAAATGATGACCCCTCAGTGTGCATCTATCTGGATTCGTCATTAAGCTGTTAATCATCATGAAAACAGATCCGACCACCGTATGATTTTGTCCGTCGCATAACACCGTCTCATTTTCTGCTTTTAAAAACAAACACAGTTTGAGTCAACCCAAATCTGTCAGTCCAACGGATACAACACATTCATAGTTGCTGCTTTCTCCATTAACACTTCTTCTCCTTTTCAAGAAGCAACCAACATTTATGGAATCAGCTTCATAATAATCATTTATGGGCAAATTAACAAGCTGTGAATTTTGAATTTCACACTGAGAAATATTGTGAGGTATTGTGAGCTAGAAAAGCAAGGTGCATATGTCCTTAGCGTACATTTTTACGGCGCCCGAGGACAGCTTCAAGTGCTCTTTAAACATTTTAATGGGAGGCATTTAATCATTTTTGGAGATACAGGCAGGGTGTTAATACACTTGTATTAGTATATAATAGCTGTGAGCAATCTGTGAATTATACCGAAGATATCTTTCACTTCTCCTTTCTTTGTCTACCTGCCTGTGTTTCTATATTTTCCTGTCTGTATTCCTCTTTGTGTCTCCAGCTCACTGTCATCTCTATTATTTCCTCTGCTCTCCCTCCTTCACCTGTTTCTGTTTTCTGTGTTTCTCTCAGTGTGTGTGTTCGCTAGACGGTGACAGATCCTGCTGGGTATTCCTGCTTTCACACAAGGTGCTTGATATGGTAATCCCTTTATAACTGACAAACAGACATGCACACGCACGTGTACGCTCCTTTTATTCACTTGTCCCCCTGTCTACTGTAGACCAACACTTCCTCTGGTCAGGCAGTCTCCTGCATCAGTCCCCTCCCTCAACATTGTCATGTTCTCCAACAGAGAGACAGAATACAGAAGAGAAACAGACACAGAAAAATGATGGACAGCTCCTCCCTGACATTTTGAGAGTCGAGAGTTAGTGGACTGGTTGTTTTTAGCAAAAATCCATTGGGAGCAATATATTTACCCAACAGCAGCTTAGAGCAAAAAAAAACATACCAAGTTTTTATTACATTTTGTATCCATTTGTCAAGCAAAAGTTAGAAGATGTTCAAATGTAACTAAACAATACATTCAAATGTCCAATTGAATCAACCATGTACAAACACATTCTCAGTGTTGCTAATTCAAAGAATTAGGACAAAATAATATATTGTTATTTGGCAAGTTGCTGTTTTTTGTTCGCCTAATGTTTCATGCCAAGTTTTTTTCTAAAGTGAATTTGTCATTCACTGGGCCTGTTGAGGCCAAAACAATGTCATTATTTATTCAGCTGAGGCATTTGCGTCCCTATTTATTTTTTCAGAAAACACTTTCTCGTCTCAAGTGAGCAGAAAATTGACTTTTAAAATGTTGCTATTTCCATTCAGTCTGACTAATTTGAAACAACATCATTTACATAAATATATTCGGATATAAGTCCAATGATTGAGGCAAATGCGAAATGTCTTTGTCAGATAATCAGCTTGGAGGACAAACTAATATCTTCTCTGGTGGTCCACTCGGAGGTGAAAAGTAATAACACAATCATGGAAATCACACCTGCCACAGAGTGTTGCCTTCTTTAATGATGTCTGTGCAGCATGTCTGTAAATGCACTAACTTCTTTGGCAATCAAAACGAGCTTTACTGTGAATGTATCAAGTGAACTTAGTTTTTTTTAAATAAACACATGTCCAAATAATGAAAAATTCCCTCCATAACTTCATCATGAACTTCCACAGAGGGGTCTCAAAGAGTCATTAAAATGTGCAGTTTCACTCCCACTCTGTACACTCCACTAGTTTAGAAAAGCAGTTAAGAGTAGGAGGGAGAGACAGAAGAGATAGAAGAGCTATCTCCACACACACACACACACACACACACACACACACACACACACACACACACACACACACACACACACACACACACACACACACACACACACACACACACACACACACACACACACACACACACACACACACACACACACCACACACACACACACACACAACACACACACACACACACACACACACACACCACACACACACACACACACACACACAACACACACACACACACACACACACACACACAGGTGTTGACGGGTCAAGAGAAAAGCAGTCCAGTCCAAGAGCCACTGGAAAACCTCCCCTTCAAAAACACCACAATACATTTTATCTTCCTTTCTTTTGTCTCTTTCACAGCAGTTTGTCAGATACGTATGCAAAATGGCACTCGCTGTGTTATGGCCATTACACTTTTGAGAATAAATTATATTACATTCAAGTCGGTATTTTACCACACATATATTTAAAGTGTACCTTGTGGAAACTGCCATGGAATATTTTTTGGATTTCAGTTCCTTCAAAGGCGACAGTCTGGAAGTCTCCTTTGTAGTCGTAGTTGAAGAACGTCAGTGTTTTTTCAGAGTCTGTGGGGCAAGAGAGGTGGTGAGGGAGGTAGAAGAGGTTGATGCAGAAGCTTGCCTTGTACCCACTATTGTCTCTGTCTCCTCCTATAAGACTCAAATAAATACCTGGTTTGTTACAATACTGAACTCTACAGTATATGCTGGACACTGTTATATCAATATTAGTATTTGTGCTGCTGTGCAGTGTGTCTGTTTTCTATAAAAAATGAAGATTTATTTTACCATTGAATGTCAAGTTATTTTTAATTTGCAAAACCATTTAAAATCATTTTGTGTCAACATGCTTTTTATTGGTGAAAAACGCAAAAAAAAAAATCTCCATCATTTTAATAATGGGGGGAATTTAAATGATATCTATGTTGTTTTAGATCAGTCCGTATATGGCACAATGGTGGTACATTTTATTTTTTTAAATACTATAGATATATAGCTTAGATATACTGTATAAGGGTCAACAGGGAAAGCAGAGCACCTACAGCATCTCTCAGGGAACCAAAGATCATCCATTCCAGCTGGTAATATAATCTCTGCAGCAGGTCAGGGGTCTGCCCTGGGTCTTTTTTCCAAAACACCTCTAAAAGGTTGACGCCTGGAGTGAGTTCAGTCAACTGTAACACGGCTTATCACTGCTGGATAGAAACTGCACCATGGTCAATCTTCTGACCCCAGCATCCCATCAGCTATGGCTTTAAAAGTACTGGCTCTATAATGAACTCTGATGGATGAATGAATGAAACATTTACCGTCCCTGGGGGAATTTGTTTTGCTTATCGAAAGATTTATATGACAAAAGCAGAAGTTCAAGTAGGTGCCAATTACGGATCAGAGATTGTTAATCCGCTGAATTGTTGTGTTTAGAGGGTGCATGTGTAGGTGCACCGCTGCCTGCTGCACTGAAACAGAGATCGATGGACCCCCTCTCATACATTCCAGTCCCATCATGTAAATAATACGCCACATTGGTTCACTATCAATCCTGACGCCCCGTTTAACAACCCTGTCTAGTTCTGAGTCTGTCTGTTTGAATAGAGCTCCAGAGGTCCAGTTACAAACTCTAACACAAATAAGGATCGGAACCTCTAGGTCTGAGGTCCTGCTGATTTCACAGACTAACGGTGTGTCCCATTCAAGACAGGGCAAATAAGGGAGGCCATCCACAAATAGAGGATACAACAGTTAGATGAGAGCATTGCTCATTTGAAGGTAATAAAACATGTAGTGATTTCTCTCCAGAAGCACAGCATCATGCACTTTTAGAGATCATTTGGGGATAATCGGACTGCAGGAGCTTCAGTACACAACTACTGTTTGAATGTGTCAATCTACCATGTTAATGATGCAAAATAAAGATAATCAACACAAGTGATTCAAACTTACTGTCCAGGATTAATCCCACTAATGGCTCCTTCTCCTTATTGAGGATTTCCCACAATGCAAAGGGCTCCTGCGGGGTCTCAGGAAGTAGGCGGAGCATCAGAGAAATGGTGTAATCAGAGGGTAAACCTTCTGGGTGAAGGTACCTGGTACACAAGTGAAAGAACACACATGTTAAAACACACACACACACACACACACACACACAACACACACACACACACACACACACACACACACACACACACACAGATAGATAGTGAGCTTAGCTTGTGCCCTGAAGGAATGTATCCACAAGGTGTCATTTTCAAAGTGCCGTTGTCTCTTTTCAGCTCTTGTGAACGCTCTCAGTGTTTTTGGCTGCCTGGAACTGTCTTCCTGTGCCAGCGTCTTTTTGATCTCAGAGCGGCGTTTTTTTTTTTGTGCAGCTGCCTTCGAGCACTTTAGTTTCAAATGATCTCAGATTTAACTTTTCAGAGGGCTCGTCAATTGCACTTTTCACAGAATGAAGAATCATAGACTAAGGAGCTAAAGTTAAAGCTGGTGAAAACCAAGAAAAAAGACTTCAGAGAAAGAACATTTGAAGCCATTGAAGCTCCCATTAAGTTTGTGTATGCTTTGGTTTTATATTTCAATATTTCCCTGTAGTATATTGCTAAGTCAATATTTAAAACCATTTTTTCCAGCGTCTCTTTTTTGTTGTTGTTGTTATTTTCTTTTTTATTGTTTTTTTCCCCAGAAAAATAAAATATACATACATATATACATAACAACACAGCCTTCTAAATGTATCACATATCAAGATATCAAAGTACCACGGCAAACTACACCAGAGACAGGACAATAACTGACAAGACGGACAAAACGGACAAAGGGAACATCACAGAGGTAGAGCATCATCCATGGCATACACGATATACATGATAGATATGGGGCATGAATACAGCATGTGCAGTAGAGTGCCACATGTAGTATCACATCTCCAACACAAGTCAGAACCTCTGAGTCCTAGCCTTGCCATTTTACTTGGAGTCCAATATGTTCTACTGATGACTTTATAATTAATCAGACGTGTCTGTATTTCCCTTGAAACTTTAAACCATGACCCGGGGCGGCTGTGGCTCAGTGCATAGAGTGCTGGACTTCGAATCAGGCAAGTTCAAGTCCCACTGCAGTCAGCATGTCGTTGTGTCCCTGGGCAAGACACTTCACCCCAAATTGTTCCTGTGGGGATTGTCCACAGTACTGAATGTATGTTAGTCGCTTTGGATAAAAGTGTCTAACAAATTACATGTAATGTAATGACCCAATAATTTCCCCCCATGTTTCACCAGTTATCTCTTCCCCTATGTCCTTCTCCCAGGATCTCTTAAGGCCTACACATTTGGGTGGATGAGACTCCCTCATAACCTCTCACCAATTCCAATTAAGGTTCCAGCGGGGACCTTGTTTCCTATGGAGGACGGAACATGACTTAAGTATAAATAAATAAATGTATGAAGAAATACAAGAATAAATAAATAAATACGTAAATTAATAAATAAATACAGGAATAAATAAATACAGGAATAAATAAATGACGAAATAAATACAGAAATAAATAAATGTTGAAATGAATACACAAATAAATAAATAAAAGAATAAATGCATACATAAATGCATAAATAAATATGGAAATAAATACATCAATGTATAAATAAATAAATAAAAGTCGAAAATAAAACAGAACACACGTTATTATATATCTTTCATTTATTTCTACATTTACGCAACATACATTTATTTATTTATGTATTTATGTGTCCGTATGCTAATGAGGTGGGCGGTCCTAACCTCAGTCTGAAGCAGGATTGGTTACAGGAGTGTGTGATCATTTCTGGCAGAGGGCTCTACTACTAACGCCTGGATAACCGCGCTGATTCGAATGCAGGAGCTTTACTGTTTAGCCCTTATCTTTATACATCCATGGTTTATCCACAGTTGTAAGGTTTATTTATGGATATTGATTTAAGAGCCATTGGAGATCATTTACGATCATTAGCGGACCATTTAGAGAACGGAGAACCAAAAGATTATGTCCAGTTTCGTGTGGAACGATGTATAGAGGACTTGGCTCAGCTCGACATGATGTGACTTGCCACAAATCTATTGCTTCTGCCTGGCTCCAACAATTGGCGAATCCTGCTTCAGACTGAGGTTAGGACCGCCCACCTCATTAGCATACGGACACATAAATACATAAATAAATAAATGTATGTCGCGTAAATGTAGAAATAAATGAAAAATATATAATAATAACGTGTGTTCTGTTTTATTTTCGACATTTATTTATTTATACATTGATGTATTTATTTCCATATTTATTTATGCATTTATTCTTTTATTTATTTATTTGTGTATTCATTTCAACATTTATTTATTTCTGTATTTATTTCGTCATTTATTTATTCCTGTATTTATTTATTTATTTACGTATTTATTTATTTATTCCTGTATTTATGTACGTAATTTATTTATTCCTGTATTTCTTCATACATTTATTTATTTATACTTAAGTCATGTTCCGTCCTCCATAGTTTCCTGCGTGTGCCTCTCCACCTCTGTTTCTTACTTCTTACTTGCTACCCTTTTCCCTCAACCTATCCTAAGGGAGTACATACACGTTAGTTTAGCTGCTATAGGCTCGGACTGTCGGGGGACGCCTTACTTCTTCCTTCTGTCTGTACCTGTGTATAGGGGTGCAACAACTAATCGACTTAATCGATTACCAAATTAGTTGCCAACTAATTCAGTCGTCGATTCGTTGGTGACGTCATCACGTGTGTTTTACGCGCCGTTAAGCTCCAACGTTATTGGTGTTTTTATCGGTACCGGAGACATTTAAAAAATACATGTCATGTATTATTGCTACATAAGCATTATATCGCAGTTTTAGTGTCACCAACTCGTTTTTAATATGCAAAAAGACAAAAAAATGCGTCTATGATGTATTTTCGATCTTTCCAATCCAGAAGAGAGATCTTTCTCTCCCGTCTGTGTGCGAGGGGGCGGGGCAGTTTACACACACGCAGCTGCTACACGCATGCAACGTCACACACGGAGGAGATGGCTGAGAGAACGCGCTCCGAGGTGTGGTTACATTTTACCCGTCTTGATGTGGACAATGCTCGTTGCCAAAAGTGCAATAAGAGTTTAGCATGTAAGGGCGGTAACACGAGCAATTTGTCTAAACATTTAGCAAAAGTGCTCCACATTCAGACGGAGGAATGCACCGTCTTTCTAGCAGCTCTGTAGCCCCTCCACGAGTAACGTTTCCACGTCAGGTGTTATGTATGCTAGCAGCAACACACGGAGTTAACTACATTATACAAACATGGGTTAATGATTAGACGTAACAGAGTTATTTATTTAGTAAAAGTTTCAGCTATTCTGTTTACAGTCTGTCATCACATTATTTAATACGATTTGTTAAAACATTGTTGTTTCTTTTGATGTGAAATATTATTTATTTAATTTAAATAAAAAGCAATGTTAGTTTTGTTGAAAATGTGTTTAGTTAATTTAATAATATATGTATTTTTGAATCAAGTATTCATCTTTATTGTCTTCATTGTTAGTTTCCACATGCCTAAAACAACCTCAAGCTAAATCTAAAAGTTGATGGCTAAATAAGAGCGTTTGAGAAATTGTGCAAGGCATAATAGTCCGAATAGTCGATTAATCGTTTCATTAATCGATAGATTAATCGATTATCAAATTAGTCGTTTGTTGCAGCCCTACCTGTGTACTCTCATGTTCTGATTAACCCAGCCACCCCAAATTTCTTTTTTTTGTGTCTATATCTACGTCGGGATCCTGAGTAGTGGCTGATCCTGTTGCTGCGGTCCTGCCTGACTCATCATACTACTTCCCTGATGGCTCCCACAGGATTGTTGACATCCTCGTGGATTCATCTTCTTATTACAGACACATGCATTTCCTAACATTTGGTGTACCTATGTTGTAAATGTATTATCTCTTCGATTTACACACGGCATCTATTGCACATCTGTCTGTCCTGGGAGAGGGATCCCTCCTCTGTTGCTCTCCCTGAGGTTTCTCCCATTTCCCCTTTAAACTGTGGGTTTTCTCTGGAAGTTTTTCCTTGTACGATGTGAGGGTCTAAGGACAGAGGGTATCGTTTTCTCATACTGATATTCTGCTCAAACTGTGCTGTTGTATTTGTTGTAAAGTGTCCTTATTGCAAAGTATTTCTACTGTATGTACAGCACTTTGGCTCAACCAAAAATCGTTTTAAAAATGTGCTATATAAATAAAACTTCATTTGATAAGGTTATAAAAGCATGACGTTTTAGTTTTTAAGTGCCAGTCTCCTTCTAGCCTGACCTGTATCTCTGTTTTTGAAATAAGTGGTAATTGTTTAAGACGTGTCAGGATACAACTCAGGACACAAAGTACTTCCAAAAGTCCCTACCTGGGAGTCTATGCTTTTTCCTTAATTGTTCGAAGGAAATAAATTGATCTCCTTCAAATAGATCCCCAATATAAACAATTCCCAATTTCAACCACCCAGACCAGTAAATAGTTTTTTTTGCCTATTTTCAGATTTGAATTATGCCATAGTGACGTTTTACGAGTAAAAGTGGGGTTTTTCCAGCGTCTCTTAATGCTTTGAAGCCTCTTAATAATTTGTGGTCATGGTCTAAATCTGAAATGTGAAACCTATTTAATATGCACAAGGCAACATCTTAATGGAACATGAAGACATGACCTATAACACCTTAATCCTTTAATGAAATGTACCGATTGGGCATGGTCTAATCAGACTAGACACAATAATGGATTTCTAAAAGTGTCCTGTGTAAGCAATGACAATTAAATGAAACCCAAAGAGATATACAATACGATTTATGGTGCATTTGCATATGTGAAAAGAAGACCATCAATCATTGCCTCAATGTATTCTGTGAGAGGCTTCTCTGTTGCTCCGGTCAGGGAACACACACAGCATTAAATGTGTAAAAACTGAATTTTGTGTACGTTTTGATAAATAGGCATATACAATGTATTTAGATCAACTCCTTGGATAAATGATTCATTTAGAGTCTAGCTACTACATATTGAAATACATTCTTGCTTAATTTTAACAGGCTTGAATCCTACAATCTTCAAGATCACTTTTTGTGGTTGTTAGCATTGGGAGCATTGACTAGGAAGTATAACACAGCCAAGGTGTTATGAGTTGGACTTGAACCCTTCTATCCTAAAATATCATCCAAACAAAGATAAAGGGAAAATCTTACAGTAAGTTGGGACATTTTCATTGGCAGGACTGTTAAATACTTCCAGCAGCCTGTGTGTATGAGGGCTGATGATTCAAAGTCCTCTGGTGTTTGTGTCCCGCTGACAGTCACCACCCCCGTGTCCAGGGGAGGAAGGGAGTGTCGCTTAGCAAACAACAGCAGGAAAGGATAAATAAATCTAAAGAACAAATGCAGTAAAAAGCTTTTGGCCTTGTTATAGCAGAATGTTTAATATAGCGTATTTCTGGTATATTCATTTAATGTCATATGGTATAAGCTATATGATGTGTGTTACGGAGTTGGGTCACACAGAGTTAGAGAGACAATGGTCGTTCTGAATTATCAATAGATGTATTCATTTTAAGTGAGTTGACATCGAGGTTGGAGGAAGTTCAGAGAAGGCCTTAGGTTATAAAAACAGTTAACCTTTGTTAGTTGACTACTCCTAAAGGACGTCATGAGATAAGTAAACTTTCGACATCTGGAACATACAAGTTTAGCATTCAGAGGCAGAACACGTGATATCGTGTGTTAGCTAATGTAAGGAAATGTGTGTGCGTCATGTCAAGAGTCCTATATATGTTTCTGTAAAGTTCTACTGCTTGGGAGCATTGCTGTAGGACTGCTTGAGAGCAGAGGTAATATTTTCCTCGTTATTATTGATTGTTGTACAACGAAATAATAATTGATCAACTATACCTGTGTTTGTGTTTTATTGATCCCTCTCTGTTTCATTCTTTCCTGTTGTGAGTGCTAAATTGCCACAACAGCCTAATAGGAGTCAACTGCATTTATGCATGCACTGTATTTAATAAAATAAATGCTACAACTTGATAACAACTTGAAAACTTAACATGCAGCTATTCTTTATATTTGTGGTTTATCAATGAATTATTTTATGATATTGAATATTTTTTTCCAGGTGTCTCTTTGAAAAGTGATGTTTATCTCAATTCAACTTTAACAAATGAACTGAAATGAACAAACCCGTCGACCCTATAACTTATTATTATACATGCCTGTGTAATGTTTGTAAATGTAAAAAAGTGATTTGACCATTAGTTTCTTGGCTGCTTTGGGATTACTGTTAGCCTTGGTTCAGAGGTCTAATCTATGAGGTGTGTGAAGAGAAATACATTCATTAAATCTGCTGTGTGTTCAACTGCAAAAGATAGATGCGAGAAAAATGGAGGCATGATCAAGCACAGCAAATCAAACTCTTACAGACGGCTATGACGCACAATTTGTTAACTTTCCAAACCAAATTTCTAGGATCCAATCTATGAATGCTTTTGAAAACAGAAGTAAATGTACCATGTACTGGTTACAGTGTTTCAGTACTCACTTGGTGGGCTGCGACACCATTGCGTCTCGGTGTAGTCTGTAACACGGGAAGGTGTTGAACGAGCCCGGCTCCAGAGAGACTCCAGGTATGGTGCTGTACTCCTTCTCTACCAGGCCGAACTTCTCCATCATACGGAAACCTTCAGGAGGCAAATCATCATTACCTTATTCTCAATGTGTTCACTGTAATTACAATCATTACTGCTAAACATGGAGTGCAGCCTCATTATGTGTCATTATCTTATTTTGCTTTTTTTTTGCCAACTTGTTTTTCCTGTGTGGCTGTAGTACAGGGTATTATGTTCCTTGTTTTTTACCTGCCATTGTGTTACCACTCATCAACACAGACGGACAGGCTGAAAGACAGAAAAGAGTCGGTTAGGTCATCCTTAACATTTTCAATTATGAATGAATCTTCTTTTCTGAACTCTTGTTTTTTCTGGTCTCTCTCCCCCTCTGTTTGAAAGGTTTGTTTACTCACTGGCGGTAGCAGCCTCACAGACAAAAGTAATGAGCTGCTCTTCTATTTTCTTCACGGCATCCAAATCGTCCACAAAGAAGACGTGTCTATCGCTGGGCTTGCTGGCAATATTCACTAGCTCTCCGTAGTCCGCGTCCGCAAAGCCAATGGCAAAGATGATATAGCCTGAGAATGGAGTTAAACAAGAGAATTCATTACAGGTTTAAAGTCATTAGAAAGGATTAAAAGGAGTCATGTAACATATTGTGAGTTATGGGTTTCAAACCTACTGCATGGTTAAAGAGTGTCATATCCTTCAACAATAGAAATAAAGTACGTAAAGCTTCCAAGGAATTAAAAGGGGGAGTGGGGATATGTCCTTCATTTTGTATGACAATATCAAGGAATCCCATACTGTATATCGACATTCAATATTAGTTGTTTAAAAACTATCAATGCTTTTTTGTCTGTGTTTGGTTCATAAAATACTCACCGTCCATCTGCATCTCCTTGGACACTTTGTTGACATCGTCTTGTGAACGTCCGTCAGTGAGAACAACCAGGACTTTAGGAACGCCTCTTCTAGCTCCGCCCTCCGGGGTGAAAATTGAATCCTTGACATGTTTGATTGCCCGACCTGATGCAAAACGAAAGGAAACATCTTGGTTTTACAATCGTGAAAGTATTCATAATGAAAGTAAATATAAAACCACTTCAAAATGTTTGGTCTTTAAATGTATTTCAACTTCCCAGGTCCATTGATTTCTATAAAACAAAAACTTTCAGAAACTTAAATTAGATAATCAATCACAGTACACAATGTCTGCTTTAGTTACATTCATACATGAGGCATACTGTTAGTTCTAGCAAAGCACTGATGCAAACATTTCATTGTCTGATTAGCATTAGCTGTTTTCAATATACTCCTTGGCTAAGTCACAGCTGTGTGGCTAATAACGTACAATCATATTCATGCAGGTATACAGCAGGAAATTAAAACCGGACACTTATCACTGTTACTCTGCTGATTACTTTCATGCCTGCACTACTTGCTGACGCAGCTCCTTCCACCCGAACCTCCTCCTCATGTGTCAAATTGTTGATTTAATGCTCATGTATGTTTATTAAAAGAGGATTATCTCTCTCAGCAGAATCCTTGTTGCTGCTCGGATTATTTAAGAGCTTCCTCAAACAGCAGAGCCTTTTCTGCAAAACCCTACAGTATAAATACTTCTTACAAATAGTCATTTGCTTTAAATAAGTGTCTCTGACAGCTTTTACAACGTTGAGAAAAAATAAAAGCTGCCAAGCTATTTTTTCAAGTCTCTTTTTCTTTCATGTTGTGGTAAAATGATTGTTAACAGATAGCTGCCTTGAGGCAATAACACAATAGAAACATAAAACAGTAAAGCAATGCTATAATATATGTTCATAGTACCAATACAAGTGAAAAAACCACTAGTTTGGTCCTTTATGCGGTGCCTAGACTCCCTCCACTCCCATCTGATGCAACATTTTGAACAGAGGAATAAGTTCTTGGCAAACCAAACGTATTGGAAGCACAGGTATCTTCATTAAAAGTCTGAAGAAATCCTCATATTGCTGGTGACCTTTGCTAAAAATCGTATATAGGTATTGTAGAGGAAACTTCTGTGTAGCTATGCAGTGGGAGTCACCGACTCAGGAAGGAGACACGGGAAGAGCAGTAGCTTTGATGTCAAACACATGATGGTTTATTTGGAGTTAACGGCCGGAGGATTCACATCACAAGTCCAAGAGTCAGAGGTTCTGACTTCACGGTAGAGTTGCCACATCAATTCTGAAGAACTCTACCCCAGACCCATGTATTTAGCTAGTTCAGAGAGCATCATCAACATGCTGCATAACAAGATAGAATGATAACACCTCTATCAGCTGACGCCAACAGGCAGGAACAGGGAGACAAAACACTGAGAGCACAGCAGCCAAGGTTACAGGTGCCTGTGCTCAGTCAGGACAGTTTTAACTGATACACTGGGTCAAAGTTATGGGCCTTGGAAAATATTTCCACAACAGGTATTAATTATAAAACAATTCTTCCACCGGCATTATTAAAATCAATTTCCATCCCATAATTATTTTAACGTGACAATAAGTGACCTAGAAGCTCCTGAAACTAGATTCATGCGGATTTGCTATCAGCATGTAAAATATGCCAGGAAGCACACAATGTTTGATGTGTTTCAATCACACCTGAACCCTAAAAGATGAGACAAAGATGGAAATGTCAAAAAGTTAAAATGATATGAACCTTTGGCAGTGTGCACGTCACTTGCTAATGGACTTAATCAGTCAATCAAATCTGTCTAGACAGCTTTAAAAGGTTTCAACAATGACAAAGCAGCCATGGCTGTTTTCAATGCATGTTTGTCAGTGAATTAATGATGCCTCATTGTTTTTCAAGACCCTCAATAAACACTCAAGTTATCGAAAAAACAAAAAAACATTCTCCGTTTTTTTATTACCAAGGTTAAAGGATAAATCGAAAGCAATTGGCTGAAGTAAACTGTCTTTTTTATTATATTTCTATTGATCTACTTCTCTGAGTGTTACTACTTCTACTCCTGAAACGGGAACTTAACAACTGTTTTGACTTCTATAAAGATGATCAATTGTTTATTATTATTAATATCCAGCAACATTTACAAGATATATAAAACTGTCCTTCCTGGTTCCTAATTATTCCAAACTGTAAAAAGTGTTCACACATTTTGAATATAAACATTAATGTGGGTGCAAATATACTCCATTTTTTAACATAGTCCTTTGATCGTCTTCCCACAAAGGAAGGTTATTTCTATTTAATGCCAATTTTAGCATATTGTCCATTATGCCTTGCTCTTCTACTCAACAAATAACTAATCTACTCATCTCCACCTGACCTTTTCATAATTAAATGGACAATCGCTGTCATTAATCCTCTTAACTCCCTGTGTCCTTTAACGCTATCTTCTCTCACTCCTCTTGTGTTCAGGAGTGCGTCTGAGAGGGTGCCAGGTATAGGGGAACTCGCCTATAAAAACAATACTAGAAAGAGTCTGGTTTTATACGTGTGTATGCTTTCTCTGTCTCCACATTTCTAACCAAACCAAAACCCTCATACCACATTGCCTGCTCCATCGATTTTTCCCCTACCTAGCTGTCGGTGGTGACAAATAATAGAGGGCTTGGCCTGTGAAGTTTTGTGTTCTCAGATATCTGCCAGTGACACATCTGTTTCTAGACTGTCCTATGATCACACTGGGCAAGACTTGAATTACAGCAGCTAGCCAGGCATGAAGTGAGACCCAGGACAGAGAGCAGAGGGGACAGAGGGAGGCGAGAGAGAGGAGGGGCTGGCAGGGCGGTGGAAGACAAAATATGAGTGCAGAGTGGAGGAAAATAAGAACAAGAGGGAAAAGGACGACGAAAAGGGAAATAGGTCAGATGGGGAAGGGCAGGTAAGAAAGGAGGGTGAGAAAACAGAAACATGTAAGTGGATCTTAGGGTTCAAAAGCCCATCATCAATCAGCAATGCATCGCTTCTTGTGTGAGGAGTTTTCCAAATCAGTTTGGATTGGCCCTCCTGTCTGTGAATAGTTTAAAAGAAAGTGAAAATAATTGAAAGCATCTCTCCTGTTCAAGCACACAACGAGTTACAGGTGCAATATAATAAAGTAGGAGACCTTTTGTTCAGGCTGTTTTGTGGCAGCAGGTAAAATATGTATGACTAGGAGAAGATTGTGATAATATATCTATGTCTGGAATAGTATAAAAAGCAAGAGCTATAAAACACTTTAATCTTTGGAAAGTTACATTCATAGTAAATCTGAAAATACTATACAAGCAGAGTCGTGGATTAGCACAATGACTCATTTTGAACATAGAAATCAATATGAAAAGACACACGCACTGACAGAGTAATGTATACATATACAGTAAATATATATTAATGTGTATGTATTAGGGCTGTCAAGTTAACGCGTTAATAACGCAAAAACAAATTTAAAAAAAATTAACGCCACTAATTATTTTAACGTGATTAACGCATGTGTATTTTTTGTCCTCGGCCGCCCCGTAGTTTCAGAGCGCATCGAGTTTAAAATACCATCTACAAGCTGATGCTGACAGCCCCGCTCCTGCCGCCGCTGTGTGGCAGACCACACTTCCACGCTCACCGGCAGGCACCGACTGGCCATCTGGAGGACCGGGAGGGTGTGTGTATGTGTGGCCGAGCGAGCGAGCGAGAGAGAGACCTTACGTGCATTGTTGTGTTAGCATCTGGTGCTAGCTAGCTGCCGCTAACGGATATAAGGAGCTGTTTAAATGAAAACAGAGGACGCGACATTTCGCCACAACTGCGCCGAGCACTTGACTTTATGCAGGAAGCCAGACAGTGGGACATTGTACGAAAAGTCAGCACACTCAGCACGGATTAGTGCGCAACATGATTGCAGCGTCCAGGCAGCTCCCGTTCGAGCATATGCCTTGAGTAATAGCTCCAAGCGATCCATCACACACACACACACACCAACAACAACACACCACACACACACACACACACCCCACACACACACACACACACACACACACACACACACACACACACCACACACACACACACACACCACCACACACACACACACACACACACACCACACACACACACACACACACACACACACACACACACACACACCACACACACACACACACACACACACACACACACACGCACACACACACACACACACACACACCATTTGTATTGTATTATTGAATGAGAGAGGTTCCAGGTTGAATTGAGGCGAATATTTGTAATGTTCAGAGGTTGTTGTGTTTAATATTCATGAGAATATTTGTCATTGTTCAAATGATAATAAACATTAGCATAAAGCATATTTGTCCACTCATATGTTGATAAGAGTATTAAAAACTTGAACAATATTCCTCTAAGGTACATTTAGAACAGATAAAAAATGTGCGATTAATTTGCGATTAACTATGGACAATCATGCGATTAATCGCGATTAAATATTGTAATCGACTGACAGCCCAAGTATGTATATATACAAATAAATAAACACACGTATGCATTTATATAGATATATCAAGACTTTAAAGCTACAGTTACATTTAATCAGTCATTCCCCCAAGCCACTCAGAGGCTTATGTCTAGATACTGGTAGCTCTTGCAGCTCTGTTGTCGACATAGAGCGGAGTTAGTGGGCAACACCCAGATGAGAAACAGTGAGCAAATGTGATGCAGGTTGCTATCTAAAATAGTAAATTTGCCACCTAAAATAGTACATTTTAAATTAGATTAAAGACGCTAAATCAACTTTCAAATGTTATCAAAAATAACGTTACATTGAAATATGCAAAGCTTTGAATTTTTAAAATCATTCATTCAAAAGTGTTTTCTTGACCCAAGCGGTATAACACAGTGGATATAAAGTCATCTAGTCATTTACAGTAAAGCATGAAAAAGGATGGGGTTTCTTGTTGGCTAACAGTCATATCCACAGATAAATCTCAAAGTTAAAGAGACAGAAAGCTGCAGGTTTTTATTTGGGTTAGGCAGTGCTTCTCAAAGTGTGGTCCGCGGACCACTGGTGGTCCGTGAGCGCCCCCTAGTGGTCCGTGAGTATATTGGTAACATTTCTTATTTGAAATAAATAAATAAATTTAAGTTTTCCGCACTCTCGTGGGAATATCTCCGCAACGGAGCGAGGTTAAGTTTCACTTTCGATTGCATGATATAGCCCAGCGCAACACCTTCATCAAACATTTTGCCACTTGTTTGTACCATTTTCAGGCGATTTGTAATCTGTTCTAGAAAAACGATGTGTTTTTTTATATTTGTGGAGTTAGGTGGTCCGCGAGTGTTTTTTTTATTGGTTAAGTGGTCCTTGGTATGAAAAAGTTTGAGAAACACTGGGTTAGGGGGAATTAGACCCAGTGAGGCCCTGATGGTCTCTAAGGAGAAGTTGAGGTTTGAGAATGAAGAAAAGGAAATATATTTGGGTTTTAATGCAATCTTCAGTTGTAAAAGCCAAAAAAGACTGCTGATCTTTCTCTAAATGGACCAAAGGAGTAAGATGCAAGTAAGGAAGTTCAGGTACAGAATGTATGTATGTATGTATGTATAGTATATATGTATGGATTAAGTAGGCTATTTGTATGCTTCAGCATCAAGATTTACAGGGATGGGGGAAATCAAACCTTAAGCATGAATACAGATTCATTTAACTGAACAGAAAAACAGCTCTCTTATTTTATTTAAGTTGTGTGGGTGTCTCTATTGGAAATAAGGACAGCCTAAAGAATAGGTATTATGTGCGAGGTACTGAAGAGGATTAATGATACACCGAGGCAGTGGAGTGTGTTTGTATGTGTGTACAAGTGGGTAAGAGGCGACAAGAAAGGGAAAAAAGGGAGATATTGTGAATCTGTGAGCGTTATCATAACCTTTAGAGCTAGGACTGCCCCCTTTTCTCTTTGTGTGGGGAAGAATAAATGTCATGGTTAATTTTCTGTTCTGCTGTGCACCACATGCACACACACACAGGCACACACACACACACTGTCCTGTGAGCAATACATCATGTTTCCACCTGTAAGAAGGTACGGTTGATGTATGTGTATACAGTAAGAGGAATAGGGCGGAATGGGAAAACATAAGAGTAAACAGAAGATGAAAAATATGGGACAGAAAAAAGGAAGGATGCTGAGAGAAAAAAGAAGGTAACAATAATGAGGAGGAAGAAAGGAGGATTTATAAAAGGAAAATAAAGTAGCAGCAAAGTAAGGGAGGAGAGGACAGTAGGAGGTTGGCAAGAGTGCAGAGAAGTTTGATCAAAGGAAAGAAGAGGAGGAAGCCGGAGGAAGAGATAAATGGGGAGATAATGGCTGATAGCAAAGCTCAAGGACACAATAACGCTGAGCGGACACTGAGCCAAGACGGAGACTTTAGGACGGTTAGAGTCCTGTGAGCAACCAGCATTAGCGGTAAAGACACATGAAGGCTTGGAGGTTGTACGCTGACATTCACCCCGTTTGTTTTTTCCCAGCTGGCAGTTTCACATGAGCGTTACTGCTGATTCAAAACCCCTGAACTGCTTGAATCCTGCTCCCACATTAAAGTCTTCCCTCTCTGCAGTATCTGATCTTCATGTCGACAATCCAAACACAACATTGTTTTAAGTTCGACTGTAAAGATTTCTTCTGTTGGAAAAAATATTTGAAGCTCATTGTTGATCTTGAAAATAGCAGACAAACAATCTCAGACAAAGCTAGTAGCTGTTCTGGAGCTTCTGTTAAATCACACAGTCGTTCTCAACAGGAGTTTGTGGTCATGAAAGGTTGGACAAACGAAGGAACGCTCCAGACATGCAGCTTTCTCAACTTGTGCTGGGATTGTTTTTCACAACTGCTGCTGCTTCCAAAGCTATGAATGAACTTTTAATCTCAAGCCAACAACGACAAAAGGTCCTTAAAGGAAAACGTTGTAGTATTGAAGAAAACTTTGAGAACATTTTTTCTAATTTATCCAGCTGTATTTTGCACATGTGTTTACACTTAAACTTTACTATTTATTTAATACACTCATAGATGATTAAGCACGGTTGTTTTATAAGTAAGGTTTAAGCCAAAAACGTATATGTTTTTGGGACATAGTTCGCAAACTACAGGACACATATAAATTGTGAAGATTATACTACATGCGCTGTGTGAGAGCTTGCAAACAGATGATTGTATATACTGTTGCTGTTGTTCAACGCGGTACACCTGTACTTTCATTCTTGATCTTCATTTACTGTAGAGGCATGTGAGATACATTTCATCATACCACAGGTTGAGTGACTGAACATCAACAACTCAATGACAAATTAGGCAACTCTATCTGCTGAGGGAAAGTGTGTGATACAATTGAAAACTCCACAATAACTAACATGACCTTATTGGTCACCATGTTGAAGAGTCTTTTAAATAAAGGTATTAAACAGAGATTTTAATATACCGGTCTTGTTGTGTTGCCTGAGCTAAGATTACATCAATCCAATGACACACGGCTCTTACCTGTCTTGGTGTTTCCTCCCTTGTATCTGATGCTTTGAATGGCTTCCAACAGCGCTTCCTTGTTGCCATGGGAACTCAGCTGGAATTCTGTCCGTGCGTCGTCGCTGAACTGAGCGATGGCGACCTGCAGACAGACACACAGACAGATAAGTGAAATCAGTTCAACTATTACGTCAAAATTAAATTAAACCAACTTGTTTCGTTGTGTTTTTGGTATAAAGGAATAGTTTAAACGAAAATGCAAATCTAGTCTTCATCTGCTCATCAAATAACATGGCATACGTGTGCATCTGTGCAGATTTGTTTTTATTCAATTGACATTATGTGAGCACTATGATGCCAAATGTACGGAGCCCCTAAACTTGGGATATGTAAACAAATTAAAAAAAGGGAGAGAGAAAAAAAAAAGTCGGGATAACGGGTTAGTATCTCGTGTGCACGAGGGGGGAGCCTCGCTGCGGGGAAACGGTGGACCAACTGGCTCTGTGTGTATGTGTTCTGAGTGTTTGTTCCCCTTTAAACCAGCAGCGGGCCGCAGGTACTCTTGAGAGTCACGGACATTAATTCATAGATCAAAGCAGACTGGTTTACAGACTCTCTTGTTTTGCCAATCCGGTGATTAAACAAATAGCTCTACACCCCTGGCCGAAATGTCCTTAAAATTAAGTCTGATTTTGAAATATATCTCAAATAATGTATGCACTGTCATTTCCCCACGTAAACATAACAGTCTGCAATGAAATGGTTGTCTCCTGTGTGCTCCACTTTCTCCTTGGCGCACCGTTATCCTGACTTTCTTTTTTCTCTCTTTTTTTTTTTTTTCATGTCCCTTTTAGGGGCTCCGTACAAATGTCTGCATTTTGGGTCCAAAACCTGAATACTAACCTCATTTTCACTTTTAATTTCTGCAAAACAAAGGTTTGAAAGGGACATTTTCATGGATCAATTTCAAGGTTTAATCAATTAGAGCAGCAGCGGGTCAAAGATTTCCCCTTATTTTTAACCTGGTCAGTGCTGGGTGAAGTAAAACACCATGATTTCTAACTGGAGTACGAACGCCTTATTTTATGCAAGACTCTAGAGAAAACCTCACTGAATATAAATCCAACTCCTAAATCAGAGCTGTAATCACTCTAATTGGCTGATTCTAAGAGGGGAGAACAACTACAGTATCATTACCTCCAGAGTGCTAATTGTGCTGTTGTTGGCTCATGGCGGCCTACATTTACCCGCCAACTCTCCTTTACTGTACAGCCAACTTTCATTACAGCCAGTGGTTTGCTCTCAGTCGCCCCCTGCCAGAGGGGGGCACACCGAGGTAGGCAAATTGCGTAACAGCAGACATTACACAAATTAAATAAAAGGGTTTAGCCAGCACCTCTACATTGTGACAAATGAACCGGCTGAGCTCTGCTGAAATAGTGCGGGGCCATGCAGACAAGAAGCACAAAGAAATTAGTTCCCAATGACTCTAGAGAATCACCGTTACACCCGGGCATTACTGATGAACCTGATACAGGAGATGGGAATATTGCTCGTAGGGATGTGATTCAAAGTGTTGGTTGCTCATAGTGGATTTTATGTGGAGAATCAAGTTGATGGTGCATTAGGTCATGTTTGGTCATAACTTTATTCCAGCTTTTAATGCATCTAGACTTATTACGATCACCACTCTTGCCAGTAAAGTAATGTATTCTGGCACCAACCACAGTGGCAGCAAATGAGCAGAGTTAATCGAACAGTGCGCTGAACTAAAACGAAAATCTCTCCAGAAAATAAATATTGATCGACTAGGGGTTTAAAGTTCCCCCTCTCTTTTCTAAACTTTTCTTAAGAAACAAGGCTGTGGTCAGGCTGATTTGTCAAGGGACTGCCAAAGAACATTAGGTGAAACTCTGCTCCGAAGCATCCTCCAGAATCAATTAATGCCAACAGCAGCAGCCTTCTTAAACAATACATGAGCCTAACCAACATGAGTGGAAAAGTAAAGTTAGGTTGTTCAAGATTCATTATTTAGGGAAAAGCGTCATTTGTTATTCTGTCAACAAAGATAAAGAAATGGCTCACAAGTTACAGAAAGAGAATCTCAGCCATGACATAAAATCACTCTCCATCCTTCCATTACGGACATGCAGTATATAATGTATCTCAGTGGCGAGCCGTGACTTTTATACTTAGGCCCTCTGACCCCCCCTTCCCTCGAAAAAAAAAACAAGAGATATTACGTCTCAACGTAGACTTCAGCGGAATATCAAAACAGTGGTCCGGGGTGCAAAACGCATCAATGACAGCGACCCTCTACCACACAAAACAACATCATTTATATAAACACCTATCATGACAGGGCACCCACAGCCAAGTAGCAATTACAAATGAATTAAGTCGGCACGGCGGCCCACATTGAAAATGACTTAGGCCTACCTTTGATGATCAAATCACTTAAACACAAAGTCCATCCTCCTGTCCTTTTGGATGAAGCACTTGCGGGTCATTCAGCTGATCCTTTGCCACTCCAGTTTATCATTGTAACTCAATCTTGAAAATGACTCGGTTAATAATTTCGTAACGATGTCATCACTATCACTGAAGTGAGCCATCATGAACGAACTTATGCTAATCATAAATCTATCGATCATAAATCTATCGATTAGATTTATGATTCAAAAATAATAAAAGTAGGGTAGACATGTGGATATTATCCGGCTGAACACAACGTGCATTTATCTAACAGGTTCGTTTTCCACAGACCTTATTTCGAGCTATTTTCCAAAATCCTATGGAGAAATCCCACTGCTTTCTGTCGAGGGAATCCGAGTGCAGCTTACTTCCGGGTTTTAGGATGCGTCACTGCACCACTTGCATAGACCAGAGCCCTAGAGAGATATCTATCTCTCTAGGGCTCTGGCATAGACCTCACAGCGGGCGGAACTTGTCATAAAGTCCGCGAAAATAAAGCCCGCCCATTTAGAGGGAAGATATGATTGGTCAATTGTACTGTCATTTGACATTACTCTCTCGTTGAGTTACTATACAGTAGCTGGCCCTCTGTGAATCTACAGAGGGACCAACAAGCTCTCCCGTCTTCACAGTAACTCGCAGAGACGGCATTTAACCCTTCACATTCCAACAGAAACTGAACAGGCAGATTCGAAGGATTTATTTCTTTGGAAATATTATTTTAAATACAATTAAATCAAGTTATTTTGGTAACATTAATGAAAAATATAACAACAAAATATAAAAAATAATATTTTTTTTTAAAATGTTTTTTTTTTAATGTTTTCAAATATTATTTTTTAGAATATCTTAGGCCCTCACAGAGGGCCTAGAGGGCCCTGACGGCTCGCCACTGATGTATCAATTAACTACTGCATAAAAGCCTGTTTAAGATTTGAAAGGAAAATGAAGTACTTCAGAGTACTTTAATGTAAAATGGGTTGCAGCATATGAAAGATGGGGGACAGAAGAAGGAGTAGTTGGCAGTAACAGAGTTAGGGGCAACGGGTTTTTGAATATACAGTATGTGAATCTTATTATATCTTACACACTGTGCTGTGCTTGCAAAATATCACAAATGATGCAGTGGTTAGTAATATTGGTTTTTTCGGGGAGGGGGATTGATCTAACAAAAAGTAGATGTGAAAATGATTAAATACATATTTTTTCACAACATTCTCTCTTTTATGAATGGGCTCTTTACCCACAGACTACAATATGTAATTTTCTCTATTTCATAATGTTTTTCGGTTTCAGTGTGGTTACTTTCGTCTACATCAACAACATCTGATTTACATTCCATTTGCCGCAAGCATACTGAATTCAGAAGAAAAGTTATACAACAATAGGAAATAATAATTACACAGCAAAGCCTTCAGCACATTTGTAGTCATTTTCACCAGACACAGACTTTTAGACTAGACAAGAAAACCACTAAAAGAAATAACAAATGTGAATACCAGCACTCCTCTGAGACTCAATTAAATATATATCCTTTATTTAACCAGGTAAAAGACTCATTGAGATTAAAATCTCTTTTCCAAGAGTGACCTGGCCAAGAATTATTATTAAAACCCAGATAGAAAACATTGAATTCTAACATTTTTAAATCAGAAGTCTTACCCCATGTAATGATGCATTTGGAACAAATGGAGAAATGATACACGTATTTTACTCTTCCTTTGAGAAGACCTTCATAAGACCTCTCTAAAGGTAAAAATGACTTGTGGGTGTGGTCACATGACTGACCTGGGTGCCGTCTGGTCCAATCAGATCCAGCGATCCCATGGTGCTGTAGAGGAAGCGTGTGATCTTCATGAAGTTGTCGTCTCCGATGGACCAGGACCCGTCCACTAGGAAGGCCAGGTCCGCCTTGGCCTCCTTACACACTGCAGACATTCATGAGAGATACACACATTTTGTCAGCAACTCATTTTGTCTTTCCATTTAAAAAGGTCTCCAAAGGACGAAGCATACCTTGAATGGTAATTAGGTGTCTCATATATTCAGACTGAGTAAATATGCATATTATGAAGCAAATATATAGCTGCTGCAAAGTGGTAAATATACAAAGGCTGGTTCCTCAGATTAATTTGCACATTGTAAAGTTATAAGAGAAAAAGTTGAGTTCATGTTTTAACATTTAAAAGTGACGTTTTTAACCCCCACAATGTGTTGTATATCATGTGTTTGTGTATTATTTTTGACTTCTTAAAGGTGGGGTAGGTACGTTTCAGAAACCGGCTCGAGTGCACTAAAATTTGAAAGTACACAGCCGAAAAGAATCCGCCCCTTCCTTCAGACTTCCTTACGGCCCGTCCACACTACAGCGTCGACAGCGTCGACAGCGTCAATCTGCCCATTTACTTTGAATGGGGTGACGTCACGTTGCCGCTTTTTTTCGCCGAACTGAATTGTGGGTAGCATAGCGGTTACAGAGCACCTCCTCCAATACACATGAACGCGCAATGCACGCTAGGGCTGCATGGTATTGAAAAAAAACTGACATCGCGATTTCCCCCCCCCTGCGGTATATATTGCGGTTTTTTTAACCTGTTAAACCCCAAAGTCCCGGCGGGTACTTTACTTTTTTTTTCACGACAGTGTCTCAGGGGATCGTAATATTTAAGAACCTATTAATGTGTTATACCAGATTAACGGAAATAATCTCAACTAAATGACGATACAAACCATTTTTACCAAAACAAAACACAAGTCTCATAAGAAGCATCTAAATGACCCCTGAGCGAAAAATGCTAACGCACTTTGGCACAGAACTCAAGATAAAAGTACCCTTATTATTACTTATCGTAGCTGCACTTACAAGATATCCGATTAATGCTGAGGTTCCACAGATTATTTAGGTATATAGTATCATCACTGAGTGATCTGAACTCGGACAGGGGAAGCAAACACAGACATCACAACACGTACCTTTACGTAGCTTCTAGGGGAGATGTCTCACCGTAGATGTCAATCTGATCAAAAGACGTGTTCAATGGCATTAAAACGAGAAAGAAAAAACGCGGCTGAATCGGTTAATCCATAGGTTTTTAACGTCTCTGTATAAAAAAATTATTTAATTTATAATCCATAATTCAATTTTTATGTAAATATCGCAGAGCAAAAGTTAGCTTCTAATGGTAGTCACCAGAGTGGCTGCTGCTTCCGGTCTTGGCTATGCGGCAGTCCAGCGCAGTCCAACACACACACATGACCAAATAAGGAGTGAGAGTGACGCGTAGCCAAAACCGGCTAATGGTGGCTACCATTAGCAGCTAACTGTTGTGCTCCGATTTTTACATAAAAATGGAATTATGGATTATAAACAATTGCTTCAAAGCCACAGATACATTATCAACCTATGGATCAACCGATTCAGCCGCGTTTTTTTCTTTCTACGATCTTCCGTAAAAGGTACGTGGTGTGATGTCTGTGTTTGCTTCCCCTGGCGAGATCGGATCGCTTAGATACTATACTTAAATAATCTGTTGAGTCTCAGCTTTAATCGGATATATTGTATGTGCAGTTTCGATAAGTAATAAGGGTATCTTTATTTTTGAATTATGTGCTAAAGTGCGTTAGCATTTTTTTTTTTAATGAATAAAACCGCACGTCCCTGCGGTGTGAATACCGCGCATGCGCATACCGCGGTTATCGCCATGACACGGTATATCGTTCAGCCCTAATGCACGCCCAATTACGGCACGTCCAATGAGGTCACGAGATACATTTGTGCGTGCACGAGATGGAAGGCTGACAGACAGGGCGGCAATCCAATCCGTTTAGCCGGGCCGGCTAAACGGATTGGTTGTGCTTTTTACATTACGGCTTCCACACATGACATTTTATTATGGATTTTTTCTCAAAACACTTAAGATATTCATTGCTATCGGGATGTTAAGAGCATTCCATGGAATATAACAAAAAGTGTATCTCGAACCGGTTTCTGAAACGTACCTACCCCACCTTTAAGCTGGTCATTCAACATCCGGTTTCACTATGAGTGGTCGCATTTTCGAGAGCTCCCAATTTGGCGGTTATTCCTCACGATTTTTTACATATTTCATCCTCCTGACAATATGGATTATGGACTCCTACCTCAACTCACCAATAAGACAACATCACTTAGAGAAGGAGAGTAATGAAAGCGGGGATAAAATGAACCACAATGACTTTTACCTTCTCAACGGCTGGGAAAGGAAACACCTCGCTTTTGGAAGTGCAAGCATTCATGCATTATTAACTGCAAATCCGACGCGAAAGTACTTACCCCCCGTCAGGCAAACTAGACCGAAGAAGTATGATCGTCTTGGTCTTATTGTTAGCGGGAGACATCCATCTGAATCCGGGCCCGGTGCAGACAAGAAGCCAGTCCTGCAGGCTCGAGCAGCTAGCATCTCAATTAGCATCAGAACTAGCATCTCAATTAGCATCAGAACTAGCATCTCTTCCGCTGCAACATCAACTACGCGACGACAACAGAGACCGTGGAGACAGCGGAGACGAAGGAATAAACGGAGACTTCGAGATTCCCCCGGGGACGCCTCGGCAGACAGACACGCATGAGGCAGTGACGAGAGGAAGAGAACCGAGATCCGAGGGAACAAATATCCGCCATGTTGTTAGCCACCCTGCTAGCATATCAACGGCTAAAGCTACAACGGAGCCTCCCTCCCCCCACACCACCCCACCACGACAAGCCGGTTGCTGTAACGGACAAAGACAAATATCTCTCAAATAGCCCTCAGGGCTCTATTCTTGGTCCCCTCCTCTTCTCCTTGTACACAAACTCGCTCGGATCAGTCATTAGCCCGCATGGTTTTTCTTACCACTGCTACGCTGACGACACCCAATTAATTCTGTCCTTTCCCCGCTCAGAGACCCAGGTCGTCGCACGCATCTCTGCTTGTCTAGCTGACATCTCTCAGTGGATGTCTGCTCACCACCTCAAGCTCAACCTTGACAAGACTGAGCTGCTCTTCCTCCCGGGAAAAGATTGTCCAACTCTTGACCTGACAATCAACATCGGCACCTCAGTTGTTTCCCCGACTCAGACTGCAAGGAATCTGGGTGTGACCCTAGATAACAACCTGTCCTTCACTGCAAACATCGCTGCTACAACCCGCTGCTGCAGATACACGCTTTACAACATCAGGAAGATACGTCCCCAGCTGACTCAGAAAGCGACTCAGGTTCTGGTCCAGGCTCTCGTCATCTCACGCCTAGACTACTGCAACTCCCTCCTGGCTGGTCTACCTGCATGTGCCATCCGACCTCTGCAGCTCATCCAGAATGCAGCGGCTCGTCTGGTTTTCAACCTTCCTAAATTCTCCCACACCACTCCGCTCCTCCGCTCCCTTCACTGGCTTCCGGTAACTGCTAGAATCCACTTCAAGACACTGGTACTTGCTTACCGTGCTGCGAATGGATCTGGCCCTTCCTACATCCAGGACATGGTTAAACCGTACACCCCCAGCGCGTGCACTACGCTCTGCATCAGCCAAACGACTCGTTGCGCCCTCGCTGCGAGGGGGACCCAAGTTCCCATCGGCGAAAACACGTGGGTTTGCTATCCTGGCTCCAAGATGGTGGAATGAGCTCCCCATTGACATCAGGACGGCAGATAGCTTGCACATCTTCCGGCGCAAACTGAAAACTCATCTCTTTCGACTCCACTTCGAGCGTTAGAACGATTAACGAAGCACTTTTATACTAATAAAGGACTGGATTACCTAAAGCCAGTTGAGTAGCACTTGAAATGTTTGGCTCTATGAAACCTGATATACTTATATGATTCTGTTTTCTTCAAGGTTGTGTCTTCCTGGTCGAATGTACTTATTGTAAGTCGCTTTGGATAAAAGCGTCAGCTAAATGCAATGTAATGTAATGTAATGTAATCTGCAAGCTGACGACATTGTGCATTTAAGCAACAAAAATGGACTACATATTTTTCATCTGAACACCAACAGCCTGAGACACAAACTGGCTGAACTCAGGCAGCTATTCATGAACGGTAAGGCAAGCATATTATGCTTTTCTGAGACCAAATTGGACAATTCCATTACAGATTCAGAGATTGAAATTGAAGATTATCTTGTAGTGAGAAGGGACAGGAACGTGAATGGAGGTGGTGTCTACATGTACATACATAAAGACACCAATTTCAAAAACCGTACTGACCTGCATCATGAAAATATTGAATCTGTGTGGGTTGAAATTCTTTTTGACAATGCTAAATCTGTAATAGTCGGGACAATCTATAGACCACCGGAACAGAGTGACTTTTATGATACATTAGATGGGTGTTTGGCTGATGTGGGGGATGTAGAGACAATTATTATTGGAGACTGGAACACGGATATGCAACGTAAAGACACGTCCGTCTTCAAGTTCTTCAGTAGGATTTGTGATCTGCACGGCTTCAGCCAGCTAATCACCCAACCCACCCGGGTATGTGAAACAACACAAACTACCATTGATCTCATTCTGACCTCTGACAAGTCCAGGATCTCCAGTAAAGGGGTTATAGCATGCGGGTTAAGTGATCATTATATGATATTCTGTACCCGCAAAAAGCTAAAACAAAGGGCCGGCTGTCACAAAACAGTCATATCTAGAGACCTCAAAAACTACTCTAGCGAGGCCTTTAACCTAGAACTGGAGAGCCTGGACTGGTCAGATGAGCTCAGTGGTACACAAGTTGAAGAAACATGGCTTGGTTTCAAAAACAAATTCTCTGCAATACTCAATGATTTGGCCCCCCTAAGAACAACCAGGGTAAAAAATTGCGCTGAGCCGTGGATGCACTCCGGCATACTGACCGCCATGAAAACCAGAGACAAAAAATGCTCTGAGTTTCATAAAAGTCAGTCAATGCTTTCCAAAA